CCCAAAGGTGAGTAAAAACCACTGGATCTCCACCGCCTCATCCGAACTGATAGATGCTAGAAGACTTATTCCGGCGAGCTCCGAATTCAATGAGGAGCGAAAGCTGCACAAGAGGAAACTTACGAAAAGTCTCCGCAAGGACCGTGAACAGTGGTGGGCGACAAAAGCCAAAGAGATGGAGAAAGCTTCGAGGATAGGCAACACCAGGCAACTCTTTGGACTCATCAGGGAAACGGGTGGGAGAAGACAAATCATTAGTGAGACAATCTCGGAAAAAAATGGCACTATAATTAGCTCCCAGGATAGACGACTGGATCGTTGGAAAGAGCATTATGAGGAGCAGTTTAATTTGCCCACAGCCACGCTCAACCTTCCGAGCATCCAACACCTCCCTGAATGGGATATAGACACAGGTCCTCCATCACTAACTGAGGTTACTAAAGCTGTCACCAATCTGAAACTAGGCAAAGCAGCGGGACCTGATGGAATGACTCCAGAGGTATTTAAGTACGGTGGAGACAGCTTACTGTCCGGATTAACTGAGGTACTAGGCAGCGTCTGGGAATCAGAAGAAGTCCCATCGGGTTGGTGTAAGTCACTGATTATCCCCATATACAAGAAGGGAGACAAGTCTTCCTGTGATAATCACAGAGGGATTAGCTTGACTAATATAGTATCTAAAGTCTTAGGCTCAATAATCATGCGTAGACTGAGTGGTGCTCGGGAAGCACAAACACGAGAGAGCCAGGCAGGCTTTAGACCAGGAAGAGGGTGTATTGATCATATCTTCACCCTCCGACAGATTCTAGAACATAGGCATTCCTACCGGCGTCCAACAGTCATTATATTTCTTGACCTAAAGGCAGCATTCGACTCTGTCGATCGGGAAGTTCTCTGGAGATGCTTGGCTGTAAAGGGAATTCCAAGAAAATATATTGCACTGATTAAGGCACTCTACTCGTACTCATACAGCCAGGTGAGGGCTTACGGCGAGCTGTCATCTGAACTGATGACGACCAGTGGTGTCCGTCAAGGATGCCCATTATCTCCTTTTCTATTCAACTTCATCATAGATGTGTTAATGGACTTAACCCTAGGTGACTTCAGCGACTCAGGGATTGACTTGCTACCGGGGAATAATCTCGTTGACTTGGAATATGCAGACGATATAGTCCTTCTAGGCGAAGACGCTGACGAAATGCAGAGTCTTCTAAACACCTTGAGCCGCAATCTACGAATGTTTGGCATGCGATTCGCTCCCGCCAAATGCAAGATGATGTTACAGGACTGGACTACATCGACGCCTAGTTTAAAAATAGGAAGTGAAGTGGTAGAGCACGTTGACCGCTTCACTTATTTGGGAAGTACCATCAGCCAGTGCCAACGGGTTGATCTCTGACGAAATCTCAGCACGAATACAAGGGGCTCGTTTCGCATTTGTTAGTTTACGCCGACTCTGGCGTAGACGAGATGTTCGACTATCGACCAAAGGGCGGGTGTACTGCTCATCAGTCCGCTCCGTCCTCCTTTATGGCTGTGAGACCTGGCCACTGAGAGTGGAAGACATGAAAAGGCTAGCTGTCTTTGATCATAGGTGCCTGCGCTCTATTTCCCGTGTAAAGTGGCATAATAAGGTGAGCAACACTGAAGTTAGGCATCGAGTTCTAGGTAAGGAGGGGAAATCAATCGACGAAGTCGTGAAGTTACATCGACTGAGATGGTTAGGACATGTGTTACGTATGCCAAGTCATCGCCTCCCTCGACGAGCAATGTTAGCGGATATAGGGTCAGGCTGGAAAAAAGCTAGCGGCGGTCAAACTAAAACATAGCCTGAGCAGTCCATGAAATCAACAACACTTAGTCTAAGCCACATAGGAAGGTGTAGACTCTTACTGGTTGGGGTCCTCGGGACGGTAAAAACCAATGGTTGGAAACAATTGGTGACATGGCTCAAAGTGATCTTTCTCAATGGCTGGCACAGATGCGTCCACTCCTTGTGATTTATGATTTCCAATGAAACTTTATTGTTCTTCGTTATTACTCTTCCTTTGTTTCTCACCTCTGCTCACTGTCTCTATTATGCTTTTCTTGTACTTTCTTCTCTTGCTTCGCGTGCTACACGGAGTGTGGCGACTTGAACTGCCGCACAATTGTGCAAAGTTCTATGTCGAAAACAGACAAACAGACAGACAGAATGCCAAAAACTAATAAGCCCAGTAGCATTTATGGTGTTGTTAAAGTTCATAAGTCAGGATACCCTATTAGGCCTATAGTTGATTCTAGAAACTCCACCTACCTACGAATTATCTAAATATTTACCTATGGACATTTAGAAAATTATATTTGTAAAATCTCAGCGAAATTGAAATGATTTTACAAATATAATTTTATAAATGTCTACTTCTCACTTAGCGGTCAATTATTTTGCAACTATCCGGTCAAATCTTGATCACAGTTCATATGAATTTACCTATGGTGTTAACTCCTCCTAAAAGCCATTCAAAATCTAGACTAAGAAATTCTTATGAACTAAGACATAGATTAGATAGTGAGGAAAACAAACGGTTAGTTTTGATATAATGCTGGTAGTACAGCTATGCCTGACTTCCAAAGTATTTAAATTCCAAAGGAAAATATATAAACAAGCTGAGGGACTTGCCATGGTGTCACTAATATCCCTAGTTGTGGCAGATATATTCATGGATAGGTGGGATAACACAGCAATTGAAACGTTCACACCCCCACCCCAAAAGTATGGTGGAGGTATGTGGATAACACATTCACCGTACTTAAAGCACAGGAAATCAACAGATTTTTCGAAGCTGGAGGCAATTTAATTCACTTATAAATTGGAAAGTCAGGAATGGGAGCCTTCCAATGTTAGACTGTAGCGTAAAAAGGAAAGAAAATGGGAAGTTAAAAACTGGTGTTTACAGAAAACCCACACATTCAAACAGATATTTAGATTTCAAAATATCCCATTCTATGTCAGTAAAAATAGGATTGGTGAAATGTTTCAGCGATAGAGCACAAAAACTAAGTAGTAGCAAGAAAAATCTAAGACAGGAAGTGAAGCATATAAGAGAAGCTTTGAAACTCAACAATTACCCTGGCAAATTAGTCAGAAAGTATGTAAGGAAATGTGAAAATAAAATAAGTAATAATAGTAGTCTGTCTGTCTGTCTGTTTTCGACATAGAACTTTACACAAATGTGCGGAAGTTCAAGTCGCCACACTCCGTGTAGCACGCGAAGCAAGAGAAGAAAGTACAAAAAAAGTATAATAGAAACAGTGAGCAGAGGTGTGAGACAAAGGAGTAATAACAAAGAACAAAACAGTTTCATTGGAGATCATAAGTCACAAGGAGTGGATGCATCTGCGCCAGCCATCACTGAGAACGATTTTGAGCCATGTCACCAATTGTTTCCAACCATTGGATTTACCGTCCCGAGGACCCCAACCAGTCAGGAAGTCCACACCTTCCTATGTGGCTTAGACTAACTGTTGTAGATTTCATTGACTGGTGAGGCCAAGTTTTTGTTTGACCGCCGCTAGCTCTTTTCCAACCTGACCCTATATCAGCTAACATTGCTCGTCGAGGGAGGCGATGATTTGGCATACGCAACACATGTCCTAACCATCTCAGTCTTTGTAGTAATAGTAGTGATGGTAATGATAATAATAATAGTAATAGCAATATTAATGACGACATGCATGCACGTGAAACATGCTCAAGATAACGACAGCACCAACGATAAGTAGTACTTCCTCCCATACAGAGAAGGAACCTCGGAAATATTACGAAGAATTCTTAACAATGCAGAAATAAAAGTGGCTGGCATTCAAACCCCCCACAAACTCAATTAGAAACAAACTTTGTCGGTCAAAGGGGCCTGTGGAGCCTTTAATACAAAACAAGTTAGTTTATCTAATACCCTGCCTGCAATGATTGTGAGGTCAAATACACAGGTCAAAGTAGTAGAACAGGTGCAGTCAGTCAGACTAGCCGGGCATAGCCGGACAAAATCTAGATTGCTTGACCCAAATAAGATAAGAAATCTAGAGAATAGTTCAGCCATAGCACTACACCACATGCAATTACACACAAGTATAAAATACGATGTAATTCAACAGGGTGGAGTGAGAGATTGATAATAGAAGCTTTGTTTATCGAATCAATTACAAACACGTGTAATAGGAATGATTCAACACCTGTCCAACCATATATCTGGAAAATTCTACTACCCCTACGATGACGAATAGGAAAGAATAAAGAAAACTACAAAACTCAAATTTCGAAGTCGTGTGGCTATCATTGATATGATTATGAACAGTAATAAATTGTGTACGGAACTGTGTCACCCAGCAAATAATAATATTTCACAGTCTATGTGATATATCCAATAAAGAAACTAATATGGAAGTTTCATACAACCAGTATTATCCTGCAAACATGTTCGTTCTTTCTCTCTTCAAACTAATATGGAAGTATATTTAGTCCAACCAGGGTGTTCAATAAGTCTCCATTGAAATCTAACACTGAACAAACTGCAGTTAATAGATTTTCGTTATGAACCAACATCCAGTTAGGGGGATCATTGAAAACCAACTAGGGGGCACTCTACAGCCATTTCATCCTGCTCAGGGACTCTTCAACAGTGCGTACCCACAATCACCACCAGGGATCAATCTCGAAACCTTCAGCCACTTGGGCTGGAATTCAATGACCCCATGAATTCCAATCTTTGTTAACTCGTATTGGTAGCACTACCCTCATCGACGGGCTTTGATGAGAATCGACTTCACACCTGGACTTATGGTAGACCTCACTGACATGACGACTATACACTGTAGCTTGAAGAAATCCATGCAATAGACATCAGCAAATTGGCTATTGATTGATATTTAGATTATAAGATCTGAATAATAATGGACGACAAACATCTAGTGCTTCAATTACAACAGTAAAAAAAGAGAATTTTACAAAATAAAGAACCTACCGCGCGTAAATTCCATGGATACATTGATAAGGAAGTGAGTGAATTCGACGTCATACCATTTCGGCAACGAGTAGAACTTTTAGAACTAGAGGATGTTATTGGTCGACTTGGCAGAGATATACTAGTTGGATCATCACATGATAATATTTCAACATAGATTAAAAATGGTGCCTAAAATATGAAGAAAAGAAAAACGACAATGAGATTTTAAAAAATCAATTAAGAGTCGATTGGAAGCAATTTCAAAAGAAGGAATACATACCTGTGATCAAATGCTTAGGTAATACTCATTGTTTCAAATCAATTATCTGGAACAGATATTTCAAATACCAGAGGCTAAGAATCACATTCATTGTGTGAGTGCCAATGATACTAATCAACAGTCACCTGGGCTGAAGTAGACAGAGGTGGGGTTCGAACCCACGATCTATTGAATGCAATTCGAGTGCTTAAGTCAATGTCCTACTGAAAAAAAACGATCTTCGCCTTTATTTTTACTCTTCTGGAATGGGAAATCGGAGTTGGTATATTATGGGCACCTAGGGATTATTATTATTATTCCCTAGGGTTTCGAGTAGAACATAGAGCTTCAAGAGCACAACTCCGTTTGCCCTGTTCTCAGCAGTTCTCTTCAGCTGGCCCTGGCGACTCCGTATAAGCTTTCATCTCCTTTATGTCACTCTCGGACCAAGGTCCAGCTCGTCTCTCCCCTACCCCCACTCCGGGATTAAATCCAAGGGCCTGGCTCGCTCTGTCACTCAGCTAATGTGTCTGATCCATTTCCCTTTTCGCATAAAGAGATATGCCATACGTAAATCGTATAGTTTTTGCCAGGGCTGGGATACTGTCCGGATACCCAGATAGAAGTAGGTGGTTATCTTAAGAAGCCTTTGACTTGAGGTTCGATCCACTAGGAGCTAGGTTCTTCTGGTTGATGACGATAAAAAGAAACAGGTCCATACACCATTGGAGTCGTTCGAACTCTGGAGCCCATGTACACTACACTGCTTTAGGTAGACCTGGATGTCTATCAGTCAGGTCATAAGTGCCAGACATCAAAATTCACCCTTTTTTTACCTTTGTAAGGAATATCCAACCCCCCTCTCCAAACTCACATGAAGGTTGTGAATAGAACTTATTTGGCTAGAAGAGGCTATAAAGGTGTGACCACAAGGAAGATATTTTGAATGGAAGATTGAAGTCCACTCATCCACTCGACTGTGCCAGGCCGTTGTTTATGGGAGCTCAATTTGTGAAATATCCACAAAGTAATGCCAAGTTCAGTGTCGCCTGTTTCCAATAGTCAGGCTAAAAGCCACCAAAAAAATATGTAATAAATTCGATGATGCTTCTTGCGATAACTAGACACTAAGAGAAGATACACGCTAATAGTTGGAAACACCAACTTATTGTTGTACTACTAAAAAAAAGTGCTAAACCCAACAGAAAATAAATCTAGCCTGAGGATTTGTGCCGATATACCTATCGATACACAAAGGGTAAGAGATATTAACTAACAAAAATAGATTTTCAACTGATGATTTGTAAGGAATCGACCGATTTCGTTACAAAAATACAACACAGTTAGAGAAACATAAAAAAACAACAACGGAGCACTGGAGAGCTGTTTCATTTCAGTTTGACGCTAATCAGCACTGCTTAGCCATGAGACTTTATAACAGGAACTTTAGGTTAGAAGGCTAACGTGCTACCACTCAACCATTGGATTTAGTCATGGGTACAAACTGATAAGGAGTCCCGAACTAAGACGAAACAACTTTAAGGCAAAAATCTCTTAGTTTAACGTAGTCTCCTCAATAATTTGGATACATCGTGTGATTTTATACCAAATAAACTGCAAAGTAATAAGTGCCTGAATAAAAAGTACTTTCAGTGCAAGTATTGGCGGGAAATCCTGCGGTAATTCTAAAATTCTAATCACTATGCTAGGACAAACTAAAAATTCAGAGATAACTTTCGTAAATTTGAACTAAATCGCTTTTCTTATTCCTTCATGTGCCCAGTGGAACATAGGGCTTCAAGCTAGTGGCTTGAAGTTTCTGTAGCAGTGGTGCTTATTTTTACAGGATGGGGTTGCTAGCCAGCCTCATGCCCAACCTTCCATCTTCACCAGCTTTATTACTGGCTTATAGCAAGGTGAAGGAGTGCGTCGGCCGAAGATTGAACCCCGGACCATGTTCATTCTGGGCCAGAGTCTTAATTGCTGTGCCACAGACACACCGAACTAACTCGTAAGGCAGACTAGATATCTATCGCATCTGATCTGATGAGTCACCGTATGACAGTAAGCAAGGTGACGCAAACACCGCAACGGTTGTTTCGTTCGCTCAAGGTCGAGCTAATAAGCACTGTAACTGGTTCAACTAACCTCATAGAGCCAAATCAATTCAAACCATACGAGTTCAGGTTATACCAACTGAAGTAGCACTTAGCCAATTATACAGTTCGAGATGGAAATTTACCAGAGCTTGGTTTGAAAACAGATCACAATATGTGATCTTAATACCATACCACACCGTCCAATGTTTACATAACTTCAACTTGGTCAATTTGGTGAATAGTTACAAACTGTTGATATTAGATGGTTGGAGGCAATCGGGAGGAAGTCTCACCTGACCAAAGTTTCATGCTAGTTGGCACTCGTCACAGCAAGGCGTATCTGCGACTGCCTTGCTTACACACACACACACACACACACACTTATTGCTACGGATGTAATGGAAATAAGGCGAAATATGGAGCGAATGACGACAGAACTGCCTAAAATCAAAACGACTGCAACCAATGAAAAAAAAACACTTTCATGGCTTTATTTATTTGAACGCTGACAATACACATCACAGTTAATTAGAATTAAGTTTCGACGGATTATTTTTTATTCAATTTTGATTATCCCGTTAATCAACTGGGCCGAAATGTTGTAATTTGATGCAATTTGGGCAATGGTGACTGGCAGTGGAATCCTACATCCCCAATGAATGATGGTGTTCTCACTGAGGCTCAAACCCAGTACTTATTGTCTCAAACGCCAGGTCAGGGTATGCTCAGATGACAAGTCCTCAAAAGGACGAAATGTGCATCCTAGATTCCACTGCTAGTCACCATTCACCAAATTATATTATTGAGACATCTTTACCAGTTTTGTTTGAAAATGCAATTCAACGCCGAGAACATGGATCCAGTCTTCTGAAAAGACATACACTAAGACGAAACATGTGTCTTATATTCCTTACTGACAATTTTTTCTCCTCTCTGTTTATAATGAACTTCACCTGGGAAATGAGTAAAGTCGTCATAAATCTGACCGACAATATCAGGTGGTGAATACTTCTATTATACTAACTGCCCTAAAATAGTAGAATAGAACGCAATAATAAATTGTCTGTTCTAAAATAGGTCACTCTCATTAAATCATAACAGACAGTAAAAAATATTTTATAACCAATTTTTGGTCACCTTATGCAAATTAGTTATTCACCCCACATTTATTATTTATTTCTATAACATACGTCTATAAAATGTGGTGAATTTAATGTATATATATATATATATATATATATATATATATATATATATATATTAATTACACCGCTGTGTGCAACTGTCTCCGTTCTACACTGGCCTCTGTCCGGCCAGTTTTGTTTTGTTCTCCGGTGACCTCGAGACTTGTCATCATCTTCGCAGTGGAGTCAACAATACTTTAATAAAAAAATCAATATGCATTGACATCATTTGCAAGCTGAGGCATAAGACACCACACAATTAGGCGTAAACATACTAACAGACTGGAATATTTTATTGATTGATACAATTTGGAGTGGATCGGTGTGTTGTTCAATGGTGGTAAAATGCACGACAACTACACGCATGTGGGTGAGGGTTCGATTCCCTATCGAAACACTCTCAAACACCTTACCTAGTTCACTACAAGTTGATGATAGTAAGCTCAGAAAAAAAGGATGCTGAGCGAGAGGATAGCAACCCTACCACCCCGTAAAAGCAACGCCGTTAATCAAGCATCAGAAAAGCTTGATAACAAAAGTTCCACTAGGAAGTGGAGGGTTTCGTGTCCTTTTGGAAGTGTATGGGCGGGCTGTCAACCAAAGGGCGGGTGTACTGTTCAGTAGTTCGCACTATCTTCCTTTATGGCTGGCTGTGAGTGAAATGTGGCCATTGAAAGTGGAAGACATGAACTGACCAGCAAACTATCTGGGATCATTGATGTCTGCATTCTACCTCATCCCGTGTAAAGTGGCATAATAAGGTTAGCAATATTGAGTTGGTTAGGCATCGGTCGAGTGTTAGGGAGGGGAAATCAATTGACAAGGTTGTGAAGTTACATCAATTGAGATGTTTAGGGCATGTGTTACGCATGACTGACTAGTTATTGCTTCTCTCTACGACAAAGGATGGATCAGGTTGGAAAACAGTCAGTGATTGGTGGTCAGACCGAAACACGGCCTTATCAGTCAACGAAAGGCAAAAGTTAGTTTAAGCCAGCCTGGTAGCCACGTAGGAAGGTGTAGACTGGCTGTCTGGTTGTGATTGTCAGGACGGTAAAAAACCAATGAAGGCTGAAGACAATTGGTGATATGGCTCAAAGTCGTTCTCAATGACTGGTGCAGATGCATCCACTCCCTGTGACTTATAGTACCCAATAAAACTCTATTGTTATTCCAGATTACTATTCTTTTTGCTTCACATCTCCGTTTATTATCTCTGTTTTGAATCTCATTTTACTTTCTTTTCTTGCTTTGTGTGCTACATGGAATGTGGCAACTCGAAATTCTGCACATTTGTGCGAAGTTGTTCTACCTTGAAACCAGTCAGTCAGTTCCACTAAGAAGACAAAGAATGGAGAAGATAGAACAAAGCGGAGATGTGTTGTTGAAGCCATCCGTATGTTCCACTCAGAACCCAAGGGAACAATCATATAATAATAATAATAAATTAATCGTATAATTAAACAAAAACAAAAACAATTTCCACTCACTTTATTCATACTAACACTCCATTTACGTGAACTTTGACGTAGAGCATGAATACGCTGTAAAACATTCGTATCATCCTCAGCATCATCATCTTCACCGTCTAATGGAACATGCCTATTTAATCCTGATGATGAGGTAATATGATCACTGAATGATGGATAAACACGATTCAATGGGATAAAAGTCGATAAATTAGGAACACTTTGATCTGTTGGTGCGGTTGTAGTTGTTGCTGTTGCTGCTGTTCCTACCACACCTACACCATCGACTACATCAACATTTGACAGACAAACAGCTGAATCTTGAGATGACGACCAATGGTGATGAGCAGGATGATGATGATGATTGGTGCTGGCGGTTGTCGATTTATTGTTTTATTATTATTATTATCACTTTCATTATGGTCAGCATCATCATTATTGATAAGATTCAACTGGTCAATAACTCGACGTCTTGACTGATGATGATTATAATGACGATGAAGATTAGTTCTTAAACCTGTGTGTATGATAATATAGCAACACGACAGCAAAACAAAAGATTCAATTAAAACAAGCCAACAGTTGATAGAATTAAACCAAAAGAAGAAAAAAAACTAAACGAAATTCTCAGTTCGTACAGTTCGAGGAGGTGACCATAGTTTCCTTCGCAAACCAAAATTATTCATATCAATAATATATGATATGTCTGACACCATCACTACCAATGATAGTCAAGAAAGCAAGTGAGCATAAATGCGTAAAACTATGCACTACTGATTAATTCAACTTCATCTGTCAATGAAATCCACAACAGTTTGTTTAAGTCAGCCAGCTAGCCACGTAGGAAGGTGTACACTGGCTTCCTCGTCGGGGTTCTCGGAACAGTAAACACCATATCTCTGTTTACTGTCTTTATTTTTCATCTATTTTTGCTTTCTTCTCTTGCTTTGTGTGCTACATGAAGTGTAGCGACTCGAACTGCTTCACATCGGTGCAAAGTTCTTTGCTGAAACCAGTCAATCAATCAGTCCCAAGTAGCCAACCAGAAGTCGGGTAGTTTCAATTGATTTAGCTCTCTGAGGCTAGGTCGGCATTAAACGAGAGAAACAGCCACCAGGTGATAATATCACTGCGATCCAGCTAGCAAACACTACTGAATGGTAGACAGCTACTCATCTCAATCAATCAGTACTATACTATACTAAAGCTAACCCTATGAACACATACAGAATGTTTAATACATCATAAAATACAAATATGAATGGGACGTAAGCAACCAGAATTCTCTCTACAGTCATAAGAATTATTCTGTTTAAAGTATAGTTCACTGCCTGAGAACACTACTCTACCCTCGAGTCCCAACTCTGTGTCATCCAGTACGCTTAGGACGATTGAGCAAAAGAGTATGGCATGTGGAGCTGTCGCTCATCAGTCTAGACAGTGAACTTCCAGCCACTGGCTCACAGGTTCGAACTCCACTGCTCCACTTACCGAGGTTTGAGCAACCTGCCAGGTATCAGTCACCACAGCAAGCTGCCATGAGCCATCAACTATCAAACAAAACTCCTTCACTATTACATAAGTATGCAAAAGGTTGTAAACTTTGTAGATCACTTTCAAATATTATTGTCTGGCTTAGACAAGAATGTAGAAAAAAAGAATTCTAATGTTAATGAACCACACTTATTGTGTAAGGTTTAGTGATATTATTTGGATGCCAAAACCTCCGTAAGTAGAGTAACGTTCGAAGCTGTCATCACCCTTTCTAGTTGAAAGTCAAGCGATTAGATCAATGAGCAACAGGTCCCGAAATACTTTTAAAATTTGATTTTGATTTACAGCTTGATTCCACACTGTATTTTTGGTACAAGTATGGAATTTTCAGCATAGATATCGGTAGCCCGAATTTCGCAGGCCGACCATAGATATCAGGTATGCGTCGGCAGGGGATCGAACCTTGGACCATGTGAATGATTGTCGAGAGTCCTAACCACTGTGCCACCGACGAACGCTTGAAAATAAAAGTATTAGCGTCTTTTGACCTACAATGCTTATTCATACTGATTGATTCTTAAGGTAGTGTAACCTTAGATAAGCTCAATTGATGTATTTCACTGATGCAAAACAGGATCTATAACTTTACTTTGATATAAACCTCTTGGGAGAGATTCTCAATTCGATCTCTTGCTTTTAAAAATTTCCTATGATGTCGAAAGATAGTTCAATCACCCCTACCCCATTAAACACAATAAACACTAATTCAACAGAACGTTAACTGTTGAGAGTTACTTTTATAAGGATTTGATTTCCTTCAAGTTCAGTCACGGATTAATGTCAGTTAGAGAACCATTGGAAACCAGCTAGGAGTATTGAGCAGATATTTCATCCCAGTTCGGGAGTCTTCAGAAGTACACATCCACAGGGGTTTCAACCAGGACCTTCCAGATGTAAAGGTAAACTCGTAGATGATTCAGTCACTGGACTCAATAGAATGGCCCATGAATTTCAAATTTAATGAATTCGTGACTTTAGCGCAACCACCGGCCAATGTAATCAACTAGCATTTATTCTGGGTTCGAACACCTGTCGATGAATACTACTGAGGAGTTCGATACTAGGAAAAAACATTGTCCCGTACGTGACCCAGTGGTTAGAATTTTCTTGTCTAGACCAATGAAGCCACAACTCCACGTAACCCAATCGACATTCTATGTATCATTTCCCTGTTTTACAACACTAAGACAGATTGAAAAAGGTAACGCAGAGAAACAGTCAAATTAAAGAGCGGTTCTTTCAAAGTGAAATGTACTGTACTGCTGTTAGCAACTGTTGGTGTATTTTGGAGGGACTAGTACCTAATACTCATCCTCAAACAGTTTGTAACTTTATATCCACCATTCAGATCCCACCACCACCACACAGCTGTAAATTCACACGTAAGCTAGGACGATACAGATGAATAGTTATTTTTCAAAAGTTAACTTGTAGGGATTTTGGCCACGGATTTTATCATTTAGAGAACCATTGGAAACCGGGGAGTACAGAACAGCGCCCTTTCGTCCTAGTCTGGGACTTATCGGTAGTGCGCACCCACCACATGTGTTCGAACCAAGACCTTCCGATTACAAGGCAAGCTCGTAGACCATGCAGCCATTTGGACCCAACTCAATGGCCAGTCCATGAATTCTAACTTCTACGAATTTTGATTTTATAATGACTGTTATCACAGCCCACGTCATCGGCGAGCATTTGTCCTCACTCTCGACAAGATAGGTAGAATTCACAGGCCGTTGAGCCAGGTCCAATTGGGTGAATGATCTACGATCTCCCATTGTAGCCAGAAGGTCCTAGAGGTTCGATAGCCAATGGGTGCGTACTTCCGATAAGTCCCAATATATGATGAACAACTGTCCAATACTCCCTGTGGCTGCTTTTCAATGGTTCTTTAAAACTGATATCAATCCGTGGTTCAACTACTAAATAAATTTAGCATTTTATATAATATCGCAATCATCTACCTGTCTGTGTTAAAATTACACCTGTCGCACACGTGAATCCGTTAACAAACTCTTTCAAGGTCAGCAGTAAAACAAAAAAACAAGCACAAAAGTGTATTTAAGACATCATATGACTGGCTGGCACGCACACATAAAAGATGTGGATAACAAAGTAAACATACCACTGTTAGTTTGCATGTTGCATGCTTGCATAGATGATGACATAATCAATCGCCTATTCTCACTCATTAAGCTTACTCGACGTCTTTTATTTTCTCTCTCCCTCTCTCTCTTATTCTCCACCATCAAATGAGTATCACATTTCTTCAATGAGTAGTAAAAAGAAATCGATACAGACAGAGAGAGAGAGAGAGAAATATTTATCGATTGTAAGCATGAGTGTTACTTTAACTGTTTTGTTGGTTTGTCTGCATCGCTCTCTCTCTCTCGCCCCCTTTCTCTTTCTTTCACTTCTACTTTTCGCCTCACTCTCACCTAGAGTCAATCAAAGATGTTCTTCTTCGCTGTAAACTTTCGTTTCCAATTATTTCCTTTTCTTCAGTAGCTAGCCAGCTAGCTAACTTGTCACGAACTGATATATCAGTTAGAAAACGATTGAACGCTAAGAAGCACTCACAGGAAAGGTCTTTCAACCCTAGTCGGCGACTGTTTAGGTGTGTTTTCACCCTGGTAGGATTATGTCTAGTAGTGTTATCTTGTTTCCAGTAGTGCCTTAAAAACGGAATAATAAGTAAACATGAAAAAAATACTTTATTTATGAATTTCCAGGAGTTTGTTTCTAGGGATCTGATTTGTTTCAAGTCTAACCAACCACGGATTGATATCAGTTTTAGAGGAGTATTGAAAACCAACAGGGGGAGTAACTGGGCAACTGTTTCGTCCTAGTCGGGGATCTATCAGCAGTACGCACCCCCCACTGGGGTTTGAGTCCAGGTGAATATTATAGCCTGGTACTACGGCTGACCGAAGGTGAGTAGATTTCGGTCTCCCTCTCGAAATGCTCTTCTTATGTGGCCTTTGTGTCAGGTAAGCCCTATTTGATTATTGAGTTCACATGGTAGGCGTGTTCCTCAAAACAGTATTAAAACCGAATCGGTGGGCATGCAGTCCTACTACCTTTTTGATGTGGTTGTGTTCTCTGAGCTGGATAGTTAATTTGCGAAGCTCCCAATCACGCTCAAAGTCACCAGGGAGATACTTACAACTCATGGAGAAATCTAAAAGCTCACTTGAAATTGACGTATGCACTGAAGATGTTGCCTAGTAGGGCGATGAGAGCTTCGCAAATTAACTATCCAGCTCAGAGAACACAACCACATCAAAATCATCCACATAAGCTACAAATCTTCACCATCCTATCTAAGTCCTACTAGTTAATGGAGCCGGAGACCCTGATCCCAAACTTATGGTGTGCATATATTATAGCATTCGAAAGAATCGAATGAAAATGAACCTATTTTGTACACTGAAAAACCGTGGAAACGTATCTCTTTGTGAGTCACACCTCAAGTTAAAGGCTTCGGGTGATCCCTTTTAAGATAACCATCTTCTTCGGTCTCGGTGCCAGGGTAGTAGTATCCCACACTATGAGATTTTGTGTGGTCCATCTATTAGTGGCCAAAATAATAAGAAAATTGACAAAAATTAGAGGTCTAACAGCAAGATAGGTGTCTTGAAGTTCTATTTAGAAGCAATAGTTTGGCGAGGCCGATCGGATCGACAGGGAAGACAAATACCCACTGATAACATTAGTTAGTATCCGCGGGACTGTGCAGCGAATCAACACACAGGTTAGAAAATATGGGTGGATGGATTCCTACCCGGTAATTGAATAGTAAACATGCTTGGCTTGTAATGAAGGTGCGTTGATACACGGAGAAACAGTTGGCTTAGCTTTCAGTGTCACTCACTATGGCTGATGTCGATTCATGGTTAGATCTATAAAGGAATAAGTCCAATCCCTTGTTCATTATGAATCTTTAGTGATGACTGATGGGTGTAACAACACTTCTGCACTACCGTAACGCCATACGCACCCACCACCGCCCCCTCTTATCGCGATAGTGTTTGATGAGTACAGCTATGAATCAAATATTCACGCAAGACAAAAAAATAGAGGAAAGCGTTACACTCACTTGTCACATCAGATGTAGTTCGTTTATGTCCAGCATGCTGAATCTTTGGAGAGACTTCAGAATTAGTTGTAGGCGGTGAAATATTATTTACACTATGATTTTCATCAGTAGAAACATCATTATATACTTCTGTATTATAACTAAAAGAGAAATAATAATAATGAAGAGCGTTAAAACTCAAAATATCCTGCACAAAAGCATGAAAGTTGACGAGATCATTCTGAGGAAGGAAATCAATATTCCAAGAGAAATATTTATCAGTCTCAAGATAAGCGTCAGTTTTTGTCTTTCTTTCTCATCCTCCTCAACGACCTAAATATCTGCGAGTTTAATTCTTCATTTCTGTTGTTGTTGTTGTTGACGAGAATGATTAAGAGAACAAATGGGATGATGACAGTGAGAATCTCCTATTACCTCAGAGATTAAAATCAGCAGACTATTTATTTTATTGTTCCCATTGGTTCCGAGTGGAAAATAGGCGTTTAACAACAAAAATCTCCACTTTGTTCTATTTGGGGTGCTTTCCTCTTCTTTGGTTCTGCGCGATCGCTCATAAGCTTTCGTCTCATCCATATCACCCTCAGCACCCGGTCATTTCGTCAATTCTAATTTGGCCTGGCGATGGTGTGATGTCACTCGACGGCCTCCTCAAATTATGCCCAACCCATCTCTTTTTTTGTTCCTACATATTTTGTTTAGCAGTCGTCTCTCGCCTGTTGGTTTGTTCCACTGAAAAGAGTTTCTTGTTGCCAATTCTTGCTGGTCGGCTGGCAATTCGATCTTCAGTATGGAGCCGACGAAATTGGCAGGTGTTTGATAGAAGTCAGCAGCAGCAGCAGACTGTTGGAAATCCTTTTCGTGACGAGCATCCAGTGCAAGTCTCTGATCCATATAGAAGAACTGATTGAGTTCACATTTGTGTTGAACCGAGTCCGAATCCTGTTCTTCATGCTGGCTGAGTGAAGACGGTTTCCAAACTGGTTTCAGGTTGCTCTTCCACTTTTGGCTGGTTTTGATGTCTTCATTCGTGATTTCCACCTGTGGTTGAAACAATGCTTCCTACATAAGTGAATGAAGTAACCTCTTTCAAGTTTCTCCCGTTGACAGTGATTGGTGCTGTTTGTTATCAACTCCGTCTTCTCTATATTCATCTGGAGTCCCATAGTTGCTGCCAGCTTCTGCCAGTTTGTTGGCTGTCGCCTGCAAGTCTTCGACTTTGTGTGACATTAAAAATAAATCATCCACGAGCGAAATCCAGATTTTCTAGAATTTTCTTATCGGCCAGTCCAGCGTATTCCTGCATTCTCGCTTCTTACAGTCTGATGCATAATCCAGTCCATCATAATTAGGAATATCATTGGTGATAATAGGTAGCCTTGTCTTCACTTCAAAGGCTTCACTGAATATTCTGTTGTAGATCACCTGAAACGTCGCATTGTCATATAGGCAGCCGTTGAATAAAGTTGATAAAGAAAGTCTCCAGATACAACATACTTGTTCATCGGTTTAAGTACTCTGCTTTAGCCTGGGCAACTGCTTTGTATCTCATCACGACTCACACAACGTATCACAGGAAAGATCTATACTCAGTAAGTGAGTTCAAACACCCACCAACAAGCAAAAAGCCTATGGTAATTAAGCCTCCCCTCCACAGTTGACTCACAACTTCTCATATCATCATATACATGACACTATAAGGTATTGCATTTTACTACAATACTAGACTATATAGTTGAATGTCATTTAACACTAGGGAGTCACATGAGCAATCGATTCGCACATACCCTTACTTGTACACTCTATGGATGCATTCACGCTTTGATGCTTCCGAAATTCTACAGATCACGATTTTTCTCACTTAATTTTGTACTTTAATTAATAATTCAGTCAGTTGTCCACAGGATGACAGCTACAATTATTTGATGACATAATAATACCCAGTTTAAGTCTGAAGTGAGTGTGGAGCGTGATTCGAACCCTGAACCCAATGGCCAAGCCAAAGAACCACAAAGACTTAAGTGATCTGTAAGGGGCACTTATTACTATCCCTTTCTGCAAGTTTGATCACGACTGATGTCAGTTAGAGAAGCACTGAAAAGCAGGGGCTACTGAACAGCTATTTCGTCCTAGTCTGAGATACCTCAGAAGTACGTGCTTATGACCCTACTAGGGATCGAGTTCAGGACTTTCTTTCAGTTCACGAGGCCGAACACGTTAACATTTGATCGCTCGGGCTGGGATTCAATGATTCGTAAATTTGAACTTCTGTCAATTTGTAAGTCTCAAGCTTGGAAGGAACTGCTGTCCAGTAATCCTCAGTTTTCAATGCTTTTCTAACTGATGCCCTTCTCTCAGTTCCAAGACCAAGCTGTGGATACATGACATTGACTCCCCCCAGTGACTAGTGATAGCTAATGCATTCTCTCATTACATTCCTTTAGGAGGTAAATTGTTAACGCGAAAAGTTCAGTGGTAATGTTGCTGACTACATCAGTGGTTGATGCGAGGTTGAATCTCACAGGGAACATGAATTCTTGGATATTGCAGAAAGTTAATCCAGTCAACTATTAAGGATAATATACCAATTTGGGTCACCTCAGTATGTACTTGTTCCTGTGAAGAGTGAAGTATATCGGCCGTAGGCAACGCGTCAAGTCCACAAATGTACTATTCTGGAACACTGTCCAACCTGGCTAGTCAAATGAGAAAAGGAGAATATACCAGTAATTCTACCCTCGAACATCTTGTAAACTCTGGAAAGCAAAAACACCCTCCCCCCGCCAAATATGACTGGCATCACATAGTGTTGATACAAAGACTTCCTCAATATCACACGGAAGGACTTAGAATATGCCATATATACATAGCCAAATCATTGGCTAATACGGATATTGATGGGGGGGACGGCTGCGTTCAAAAGCACTACACACATTGACTCGCCTTACGTGGCCAAAGTAACCAACCATCTTGCTATAATTTTATTATTATGTGTTATAATCATTGCATTTTCATACAGATTCTATATAAACACTTTCCAGTCAGTCTCTGCACTAGTTTTTGTCCACCTTACACACACACACACACAATTATACTGATTAGTCATTTTTCACACCTATTACATCATTCCAACATCTGTTCCCTTCCTTCTAATCTCCAGTTAGTCATCACTTTCTAGATCACACCTAACATTATGTAATATATATTCTAGAACAAATTTACCAGTGTCTGATTGATCCTATGAATTTCTTGCGAAGTATAAATACGACTGTACACGTCTTGACAATGCTTCGTCGAAAAGAAACTTCTCTTCGGTGTCTACATCGTTCTTTTTTCTTAAAAAAAGTCGTGACCAGTGGGGTCCACCAGGTTAGGAGTGAGCGCAAATAATTACCGATGACATGAGCTGTGGTGACAGTCGCGCTGAAATCACGAATTGATAGAGTTAGAATTCATATGAGTTTATTTATTAGATGTATCACACAGTGAAACAGTATTATTATTATTTACTGGATGACACAGTTTTGAACACAGTTTATTGCTGTTCATAATCATATCAGTTATAATCACACAACTTCGAAACTTGAGTTTTACAGTTTTCTTTGTCCTCTCCTATTTGTCGTCGAAAGGGGTAGTAATTTTTCCAGATATCTGGCTGGAAGGGTGTTGATTTCTTATCTGGAATCTAGAGAATAGTTCAGCTATAGCAATACATGCAATTACACACAACCATACAATAGGATGGGATAGGATGACAGTTTTTAAATCTAATGTCACAGGGTGGAGACAGGGAGAGATTGATAACAGCGGAAGCTTTGTTTATCGAACCAACTGAGAGAAAACACTTGTAATAGGAATGATTCAACACCTGTCCAGCCAGATATCTGGAAAATTCTACTACCCCAACGACGATCAATAGGAGAGGACAAAGAAAGCTATAAAGTTCAAGTTTCAAAGTCGTGTGATTACAATTGATAAAATGACTATGAACAATAAATTGTGTTCGAAACTTCGTCATTCAGTAAATAATACTGTTTCACTGTGTGATACATCTAATAAACAAACTAATATGGAATTACTTACTACCACAGTGCCCAAGTTTTATACATATATTAGAAGTTAAAATTCATGGGTTGGCCATTGAGTTGGGTCCCAATGGCTGAGTGGCCTACAAGCTTCCCTAGTAGTTGGAAAGTCCTGGATTCGAACCCCCCCCCTCCCGGTGATGGATGCTTTACTGTCGATGTGCTCCAAACTAGGACAAAATAGCCCTGGTTCTCTAAATAATATCAACCCATAGTCAAACTTGAAATAGACTCAAATAAAACAAAATACTCCGCGGCATAAAAAAAACACGCTGCCTTACTTTTCATGAGATATCGACGAAAGGATAAGACTAGTCCGAATAGTATTATCCATAGGTAGAAGTATTTCACGTAAAGCTTGTATTGAATAAACACTTTGATCATTGACGGCTGTTATTGTTGTTGGTGTTGTTGTTGTCGTCGTCGCTAGTAGGGCATTTGGCACAGGTGTAGGAACAGGTGTTTGTTCAGTCTTGCATTCATTGTTCATTATCCTTATCAGCGTCACCATCAACAACACTATGATCCAATTCTTGTAAAGATGTGACAGCTGATGATGTTGTTTTGAGTTTACTCGACTTATTATTAATATTAGTATTATTATTACTACCATTATTAACAAGATCATTAGTATGATTAGTAACACTGGTAGTTGGATAGTTTTCACTTGAATTAGTTAAATACAGTGGATTTGTAGAGTTTACAAATGATGGTACAGAAGAGGGCCGATTAAGTATCAGCGATGAACCAAGTCTATGCGAAACAGCTGAATGAGAATTGAAGGCATCCAATAACCAGACAAGATTAATTGCAAATGAAACTGATTTTTTACAACTGAAAAACAAGGAAAATCGAAGAGACGGGAAGGTGAGGGGTTAAGTGTGTGTGTGTGTGTGTGTGTGTGTGTGTGTGTGTGCGAGACAGATAGCGAGAAAATGTGAGAAATGAAAATATGTCACAATTAACAACAACAAAAAATTGCTATAAATATTGACATAACTAGATAGTGATGAGTTCTTTTTTCGCCAGAGACCTGACCTCGAGATCCTAAGCAACTTTTAAATAAAAAAAGAAGCAGCGATAAGTGTCCTACATTCTCATTTTTTGAAACGATACCTTCGCAGCGGATGCTATTTCATTTCCAATAGACTCATTTCTCCATCATCACTTTCATTGTTCTTTACGACTGGCCACAAGCTTGTATTTTCATCGTATATGATCTCGTCCATATCGCCCTTGGACTCATGTCCAACTCATCGCATCCTATTCCAGTTCTTCTCATCGACACAAGGAATGACACCACTTTATGTCTTACCCATCGACAGAGATTTGAAATGTTGCATAAACGAAAAATATCACTGCCTATATTCACACTCAGATCAGTTCATCGACTTTTCTAGAAAAACTGTGGAGAACTGCTTTAGTACATGGCATGGAAATAAAAAGCAGGCGGGGTATGCGTTAATCATACCAATTATTCGATAGAGGGAGGTCGTCGACATGAAGCCTTGCGAGGTCCTAGGTTTCGTGCTAGTTGTCACTAACCACTCAGTCAGCTAGGCGTATCTGCAACTGCCTTGAAAGAACAACTCATGTCCCTTCTGAGGTTTGAAACCGCGTCACCCAGTGCAGCCTGCAGTCTGAGATGTTACCGCTGAGCTATTCGGACTCGCGATCGACCGTCTGTAGGGCTGTAGTGGGTGACGTGGTTTCGGATCTTAGAAGGGACATGAGTGTCTCCTTCAAGTCAGTTGCAGATACGCCTTGCTGACTGACTGGTGAGTGACAATTAGTACGAAACCTAGGTCCAAGGCTTCCTGTGACCAATTGTCTCCAACTATCTAATATCATCAAATCAATGTGCACCGTGATGGCGAGCTACCTAGTGGCATGGCGGCCACATTCCAAAACTTGACTGATAGAATTCAGTCTGCATCAAAGAAAGGACTAGACACGTCACACTAGTTACTAGTGTCCAATTAAAAGACCAATTATTCATTCTAAATAGCATATACTGCTTATCAAATGTTCATTTGACATCTTTGTGATGACGATATGTCTGTCTATCTATCTGGATTCAACATACAACTTGGCACCGAAGTGCACCAGTTCCAGTTGCCACGTTCCAAATAGCACACAAAGGTAGGTAGACAAGAAGATCAGTGAAGAGAATCAATAGAGTTTGACAAGTATAAGAGTGAAACAGAATGGGTAATGGTAGAAAGGAATATGAAAGATCACAGAGACTGAATACATCTTCGCTGGCCATTGACAACGATTTTGAGCCATGTCACCTATTGTCTCCAGCCATTGATTCCTAGAGTCCCGAGGGCGACAACCCGGAAGTCTGCATCTCCCTACCTGACGATATGTACGTAAGCAAGCAGACGTTTGCATAGGTGGGTGAACACTAACGAAGTCATGTGTTTATTTAATAGTAGTAGTTGGGCTTATTATCTGTGTTGCTAAGTAGACTCGTGGTGTGATGCAGACTGATAGAAAATGGCCAAAATTGAAGTCAACATTTTAAGTCAATGACCGCAGCTGAGGTAGAAATGTTTATTCCTCAAATTTGGGCTTAGTTTATCGCCATTTGGACATGAAGCAACCTCATTGGATAACTTGTCTAACTTTGAGCCAACCTTGTCAACCAATCAGAACAATTTATTCGCCTCTGATCACCTATCTGGACTTCATAAATCAGATACATTTTACTTTAATAAAGGCCTGTTACCGATTCTCTCATCTTCCCTCATTACCGACTACTTTCATATTGCTCCAAGAAAATATGGACTAGCACATAGGACCTTCACTAGACAAGCCATTGCTCGAGTGGAACCCGAAAGGGAAGTGGCGAGTTGGTCGTCAGTGCAAGGGTGACTTGGAGGAGGTCATGTGAAGAGGAGATGAAAGCATGTGGGCAGACCTGGAGCCAGGTGAAAACTTTAGCAGAGAACCGAATACAATGGAGACGTGCAGCTGAAGCCCTATGTTCCTCTAGGAACTAAAGGAAATAATAATAACAATACATAGGACCTATAAAAGGTGAACCCCATCGCCACTCTATCCCACCTATTTATAGAATTCATGGTTGAACATGTTTAACAGTATGTATACTTAGGGGACCAAAGCAGAATGTAATTCCAAATTAATTTGTTTATTGAACATATAATCACACAGTGGAATAACAGTATTTACTGGATGACGAGGTTTCGAAAACAATTCAATCAGCAGAGGAGAAAATCTGAATTAGCTGAAAACTGATTGAACCGAGGATTTATCACTCTTATTGGTGTTGAATAAATGACTGACTGACTCATTTGTGTAAGTATTTCATTCTTAAAAAAAGGAGTGATACTGTGGTGAGAGCTTGCTGTTAGCTAAAATTGGTGGACAATAATTAACGTCAATGTTTATGTCCCCAATATTGGTCGTGAGAAAAATGAGAACAAAGACTTTGTGTAGACGGATACAGTTAACATATAGATGATCTGACATTCAAGAAACAGTCACAAAGATATGCAAGGTTAACTTTCTGTGAGAAATAACCAATTGGAGGACGGTGTTTTTCTGATAACAATAAGCTATAATACTTACATGAAAATCTATAAATATGTGACGATTTCCTTAATAAACGATCTGTTGCCTGATTCTTGCCTTCTGTCGTTGCAATACATTCTTATCAAATTATAACTACATCAGTTCGACTAGTCGTACAATAAGATGAAATGCGAATCTTGGATTCCACTGTTATACGACTGGTTTCAAAACGAAAATTTGTACAGAAGTGCAGAAGAGTTCGAGGAACATGAATAATAATGGTTCACACGAATGTATGAACGTTTACTAATAACAGTGAAGTTTACTGCAGAAAGTATCATAAGCCTTGTAATGAATGATATTCAAAGTCCATCTAAATAAAAAAAAGCAAAGCTCATTTGGCATTAAAGAATTTCCATCCTCATCTTAAGCACCAATTCCTCCTATTACTACTTCGGAAGAGATTTCTCATCTACCGGGCCATTAGTGAAAGTCACTCACTACACACAAACTGCAATGCTTGCTTGACTGTGTTACAACATAGAACTTTGTATAGAAGTGCACATCACTGCAAGTTGACACACCGAATTCAGCACATAAAGGTAAAGAAAAAAGGAGATTCAAAAAAGGAATAATGAGCATAAATGGACAGGAGAGAGAATAGTAACCTGAGAAGGCGAAAGAGTTTAATTGGGAAATTACAAAGAGTGGATACATCTGCACCAGTCACTGACAACGGTTTTGAGCCATATCACCATCATCACCAACGGTATGAAGCCACTAGTTTGAAGACTCCAACCAGCCATTCTACACTTTCTGATGTGACCGGTTCTAACCAAAGTCATAGATTGATGCCAGGCTTCGGTTTCACCAAGGCTTCACTCATCACCCACCCACCCCGCGAAACCAATGTCAGTTAATACATTACTTGTCAAAGAAGGCGGTAGCCTCGCCTCGCATGCGCGCTCACCATATTATACCACCACCACCTAACAACGGAAATAAAACGCAAACATCAGTGGTCAGAATATAGTTCATACACGTGTATAGATACCCAATACACCACAAACCCCGGGTCCTGGCAAGACTTCCTGTAGCCGATTGTCTCCAACTATCTAATATCATCAAATCAATGTGCACCGTGATGACGAGCTACCTAGAATGGTGGCCACATTACAAACCTGACTGACAGAATTCAGTCTGCACCAAAGAAGAGAAAGGACTAGACACACCACACTAGTTACTAGTGTCCAATCAAAATATCCACTACAGTCCTACAGAAGGTCAATTGCGAGCCCGAATAGCTCAGTGGTTACGTCTCTGACTGCAGGCTGCACTGGGGTAACGCAGGTTCGAATCTCCTTAGAAGGGACATGAGTTGTTCTTTCAAGGTAGTTGCAGATATGCCTTGCTAGCTGACTGATGAGTGCAAACTAGCACGAAATCTAGGTCCTGGCAAGACTTCCTGTGGCGATCGCCTTCAACCATCTAACAGCACGACTGTATCAGTTGAAGGTTTACAAGAGGAAAAAGATAGCAGCACAAGAAGCAACGAAGAAGAAGAAGAAGAGGAAATGGAAAGAACCAGTCCTAAAGGCGTGGAATATGAAATAAATATCATGTCGGACTAACTAAATGAGGTACAAAACACAACACCATGATAAATTCTTAACAGTTTTCTTAGTCTAGGCTGAGATCCATAAAGGAAAAAAGTAAGTGATAAGTAACACAATAATAGTAATATAAATTACAAATGTGAATAATTACCGTAATTACTGTAGTAGAAGAGAATGAACTTTTCAACCTTATAAATGTAACCTCATACAATACACGCCGACAACTTATGTGGTGCATTTAGACGGACTATACATATATATATAAATTGATTGCCTTAAAGAAATACCGGAATCAGGTTATAAACAGCACAAATCCAATTTATAAATATTTTGATTTATAGAATTTTTAAAAAATGAACTAGACTTATCTACTATGCAAGGAAGCGGTAAACACTGTCCAAAAAATAAAGGACAATAGGACAAGAGAGGAATGTGTTTGTGTGTGTATAAACAGGACTACCATCACATGATTAAACAAAACGGCGGTCTACTTAAATATCACAGGGTTGCCTAAATTCTGTATTCATCAAAATCTACAATCAATCATAATCGATACTCATCTCTCTGTCTGTTCTCGACATAGAACTTTACACCGATGTGCAGCAGTTCAAGTCGCCACACTTCCTCACTGTAGCACACAAAGCAACAGAAGAAACTAGAAGAAATGCATAATAGAGACAGTAAACAGAGGTGTGAGACAAAGAAATAGTAATAACGAAGAACAAAACAGTTTCATTGGAAATCGTAAGTCACAAGGAGTGGATGCATCTACTATAGAAAGGATGCATCTGCGCCAGCCATTGAGAACGATTACTTTGAGCCATGTCACCAATTGTTTCCAACCATTGGTTTTTACCGTCCCGAGGACCCCAACCAGCCAGGAAGTCTACACCTTCCTACGTAGCTTAGACTAACTGTTGTAGATTTCATTGACTGGTGCCATGTTTTCGTTTAACCACCAGTGACTCTTTCCCGAACTGACCCTATATCAGCTAACATTGCCCGCCAGTCGAGGAATGCAATGCCTAGGCCTACGTAACACATGTCCCAACATTCTCAGTCTATGCAATTTCACAGCCTCTTCGATTGATTTTCCCCTCCTTACCTAGCACTCGACTCCTAACCTCAATTTCGCTCACCCTATTATACCACTTGACACGGGAGATATAACGCAGGCACCTATGATCGAAGACAGCTAATCTTTTAGTGTCTTCCACTCTCAATGAACAGGTCTCATAGCCTCATGCACAATTGCAAACAACTTTGTGCCTGCCGATAAGAAGTTTTCGAAGGAAGTCGAGGAAGAGCATTGCGGAGTAGCATTGGAGCACACACTGCGAATAGAACAATATTACTTCACACGATTATTGTTATCGATTATTGTCTTATGTAAAGATTCTATACATAATGGGGTAAATTGCTTGTAGTGCAACTTGCTGAAAATTCTGTATTATGCATGAACGCTTTTTTTTCAGAATGAAGATTATTATTATTATCATCAAAGATAGCGGTGATAATTTTGTTATGTACTCGTCGCCAAATTATTGTTATGTACTGGTCGAGAATTTAATAGTCCTGACGCAAGAAGGCGGAAATCAGAAGACCACTAGGTTTGCGATGATACTTCTATTTTCCAAACACAAGGAGAATCAAAATATATCACACAGTAGTGTGAGAGCAAAATATATGTGAATGTCCAGACAAGTGTGTGAACAAATCAATAGATAGTCTTAACATGATTGGCTAATTATAATGGAGTATCGATCCATATATACATAGCGAAATATAACACTGTCAACAAACACACATATTATATATAATATAAGGGGAATATACATTGTTAAAGGAGACAGGTTCATCAAAGTGAAATGGTCACAGACTAAGAGAGCAACAGAAAGAGAGACCACCATACATATATATATATATATATATGTATATATATGGATACATATCAAATTTCAATATAGATTTAGTCATGAAACAGTATCGGCTAGCGATCAGTGAAAATCACATTACCAATGGTCTCCAGACACCATTGGTTCTTACCATCCTGAACACCACAACCAGGAAGCCAGTCTACACCAACCTACGTGGCTTGCTGACTGACTGACTGGCCAGGCTATGTTTCGGTTTGACAACCACTAGCTAGCTTTTTTCCAACTTGATCCATCCGATATCAGTAAGCTAACATTGCCTGTCGTCGAGGAAGACAATAGCTAGTCGACCATACGTAACACATATCTTAAACATCTCAACCGATGTAACTTCTCAATCTCCTTACCTGGCACTCGATGTCTAGCCACTTCATACGGGACAAGGTAGAACGCAGACACCAAAGATCGAAGATACTTATATGGCCTGTTCATGTCATCCACATTCAGCCACCATACCACAAAGGAGGACAGTGAAAACTACTGAGCAGTACACACGCCCTTTTGGACGATAGCCAGCCGGATCCCGCGTCTGAGCCAGAGATGGAGTAAGTTGGCCAATGCCACATTAATTTTTTGTATCCATGTTGAGATTTCACCAGCGATTAGATCAACCCACTGGCAGTGGCTGATGCAACTCCCCAAAAAGTGATGTAGTCCAGTCAGACCTGTAGCACTCATCATATTATATTTGACAAAGGGATCAAATCGCATGTCAAACATTTGAAGATCGCTACTCCTGAAGGCGTTCAGGAGTGAGAGTCTTCACCTAGGAGGATTATATCATCCGTATATTCTAAGTCAAGGTGAAGTGGATGCTCAAAGGAGGCATTGCTGGAGGGTGGCACTACTTCACAAGTCACTGAGTTCCGACTGAAGTGTCTGAATAGTGATCTAGCTTTGCCATGGAACCCTAAGGTCATGAGTTCGATCGCTGGTGAGACAGTGAGTGAGCATTACTGAAGAGTCCCAAACTAGGACGAAACAACTACCTGTCCAGTACTCCCTGGTTTCCAATGATCTTCGTAACTGCTGTTGGTTCGTGACAAAATCTAACCACGGAAATTAAAATCCAAATCTAAATAACGATAATGATAATAATAATAATAATACTTACCGATAAATAAAATAATTAGTTAAATGTTCAGCTAATGTAGGCGATTTGTCATACAAGGAAACAAGTTGTAACAAATAGAAGTCTACGTCGGATTCTGGGAAACCAAACAATCGATCCGCTGTTCATAGAAAACATTGCAAAAACAAAGAAGGATTGTTTTGTAAATTAAAATATAGGAGACTAATAAATGAGAATTTATGATTATGTAACGTTCTTCTCTATTTCAGTCATGTACATCTGAAAAAGTGAAAATGAAAACAGTCGCCAGATGTTTTTTCCCCAGTATGATCATTGTCATATGTTCCACTGAAATCATCAATAGTTAGGCGACATTACTCAAAAATATCTACACACTGTATGCACGTTTAAGTAACCAGTCGCTATATACTGTGATTTTTTTAATACTTGAAAACTAAAATAGAACAGACAGCTGCCCTAGTTTCGACAGTGATTGTTCCATTAAAGTAGAAAAAGATTGTCTAATTATATATAATCTCTTCTTCTCATTGGAATCAGTTGCATATGCATGGAAGACATGTCGAATTAGAGAACTAGAGTCTTTCTGAAACACTCTGATTCAAGATGGTTATCCACCGGCATTTATCAATAAATTTTTTTTCCTCCACGTTCCCAGTGGAACATAAGGCTTCAAGCTAATGGCTTGAAGTTTCTGCAGCAGTGTTTAATTCTACAGGATGGGATTGCTAGCCAGCCTCATGCTCAACCTTTCCTCTTTACCAGCATTATATCTGGCTCAGTGAGGAAAAAAGGAGTGAGTCGGCCGGGAATCGAACCTCGGACCATGTGCATAGTCGGCGAGTGTCCTAGCCGCTGTGTCACCGACGCTTTATCATCAATAAATAAACATATGAAAAGTAAGACAGCCTAATCCGCAAAATACTGACTGACTGACAGGTTTCAACGTAGAACTTTGTACAGATGTCCAGTAGTTCGAGTCACCACACTTCACTGAGTACACAAAGCAAGAGAATAAAGTAAAATGAGATTCAAAACAGAGATATAAGGCAAAAAGAGTAGTAATATTGAAGAACAATATAGTGTTTTTGAATATTATAAGTCACAAGGAGTGGATGCATCTGCACCAGCCATTAAGAATGATTTTGAGCCATATGACCAATCGTCTCCAGACATCAATGGTGTTTACCGCCCCGATGACTCCGACCAGGTAGTCTGTAGCTTCCTACGTGCTTTAAGCTAACTGTTGTTTATTTTATTGACTGACTAACTCCTTTCTAGCCTGATTCATTCAATGTCAGCCAATGTTGCCCATCGGCGAGGAAGGCGATGGCTAGTCCGTCATGCGTAACACATGTCCTAACCATCTCAATCGATGTAATCCGCAAAAGACGTAAGTACCAAAGAAAAAGTTGGCTGTAAAACCTGAAATTTCAGGATGACACACAATACCTGAAATTATTCGAAGTGGATTATCAGAAGCGATTCGAAAAAAATTCTTTCTTGGACCTCTACGTCTATCTGTCTGTTTTCGACATAGAACTTTGCACCGATGTGCAGCAGTTCAAGTCGCCACATTTTTTTTGATTTACAGCTTGATTCCACACTGTATTTTTGGTACAAGTATGGAATTTTCAGCATGGATATCGGTAGCCCAAATTTTGCAGGCCGACCATAGATATCAGGTGTGCGCCGGCGTGGGCTCGAACCCCGGACCATGTGCATGGTCGGCGAGAGTCCTAACCACTGTGCCACCGACGCACTTCCTCACTGTAGCACACAAAGCAACAGAAGAAACTAGAAGAAATGCATAATAGAGACAGTAAACAGAGGTGTGAGACAAAGAAATAGTAATAACGAAGAACAAAACAGTTTCATTGGAAATCGTAAGTCACAAGGAGTGGATGCATCTACTATAGAAAGGATGCATCTGCGCCAGCCATTGAGAACGATTACTTTGAGCCATGTCACCAATTGTTTCCAACCATTGGTTTTTACCGTCCCGAGGACCCCAACCAGCCAGGAAGTCTACACCTTCCTACGTGGCTTAGACTAACTGTTGTAGATTTCATTGACTGGTGACATGTTTTGGTGTGACCGCCGCTGGCTTTACGTCTCCCCCGCATCTTCTCTAAAGAACCTCGTATTCACCAAATATGTAATAAAAGAAACAATCTTCAACTGTTTGCAACACCCATGTGCATATATCATTCCACTGGCTCTTACTGCAATTAAATATATAGACCATATACCAGTAGGATATTTATTGTTTCGGCGTGTACAAGAACATCTCCCAATACGGTTGTCTAAAGAAGAGATTAGATGAACCAAATAGCTAAATTCTTGAACATTTTATGCAAATCACATTCCGCATCAACAGAAGACAAGGCCAATTCGTTTGAAGGGTTTTCTGTTACATCTTCTACCCACTGCATAAAACTCTTGGCATACATCATCGGTTTTGTTTAATTCCTTTTGTTACGATGGCCATTAAACTCCTCTTTCTTAACTCCTTTCAAAATCCTAAAGGATATTAACAGGTGGCCTTTATAGGCATTTCCACGACCCTTTAGAACAGTGCATAACTGTACAGCTTTGGAATTAAGTTGCCAAAAAATATCCTTTGCTGATATATATGTCTTTTTACTTTATAACAATTTTTTATTCCTTCACGTTCCCAGTGGAACATGGGGCTTTAAGCTTGAACTTTAAAGTCTCGGGAGCAGTGATTTCGCTTACATGAGGGTGGGGGGTTTCTAGCCCTACATCCAACCTTTCTCTTTGTTTTTACTGACTTTGCTATCAGCTTATCGAGGTTTAGGAGCACATTGGCCGGGGATCAACCAGCCCCGGATCACATGCGTAGGATTGATAAAAATTATAATGAATATAATTATAATGGCCACTCTACGGATCATCATTGAACAAGGCTTGGAATGGCAGTCACCTATCCATCTCACTCAACTTCATCGACTTTGAAAAGGCCTTCAGCAGACAGCGTCGATCGAATGGTCATTTGGCAACTACTTCGCTACTACCAAGGGGTGCCATCCGACAATTATACATCCCATCCAACAGTTATACGACAATGCTAAATGCCAAGTAATCCACAACGAGAAACTTACGGAATCCTTCGTAGTGAGGACGGGAGGAAGGCAAGGCTGTCTATTATCGCCAATGATATTCCTGATTGTGAGCAGTAGATTGGATAATGCGACAGACAACGGGAAATGAGGAAACAGGCATAAAATGGACTCACACAAAAAAAATTTGGAGGATCTGGACTTCGCCGATGATGACATATGTCTGATTTTACACAAACTGGAAGATATGCAGGTGAAAAGCAACAAGCTGGCGATATAAGAAGCATCCACAGAAGATAGGACTTCCTTCAGGTGAACATAGAGAAAACAGAGGTGAAGATTCCTGGCCAACACCAACAGCAACACCAGACAACAATCAGCCAGCATAGATGGGAGGAACCTGAAAGAAACAACCTCACTCACCCACCCACCTACCTACCTACCTACCTACCTACCTGGGAAGCATCCTTCCAACTACAGGCGGATGGAACTGACGAGGTTATCAACGCCAGATTCGGAAAAGCAAGGCAAGCTTTCATTACTCTCAACTCTGTGTGGAGGTCAACAGCATTCAGCATCAAAAATAACATCCGGATTTTCAACTCCAATGTGAAGTCAGTGCTATTTGCAATACGGATCAGAGACTTCGCCAGTGCGTCATAAAGAGCATCTCAAACAAACTACAACCTTCATTAACAGTTGTCTTCGCTCAATACTCATGATTAGATGGCTGGCCAGAAAAGATCAGAAACAGGGATCTCTGGCATTGAGCGAACCAACCAGGAACCGATTGTGAAACAAATAGGCAGGAAGAAATGGAGATGGATTGGCCATACGCTGAGGAAACCATCAAGTGACATCACTAGACAACCCATTGGTCGAGTGGAACCCGAAAGGGAAAGGGAGAGTTGGTCGTCAGTGCAAGGGTAACTTGGAGGAGGTCATGTGAAGCGGAGGAGATGAAAGCATGTGGTCAGACTTGGAGTGGGGTGAAAAAGTTGGCAGAAAACAGAAGGCAATGGAGATGCGCAGCTGAAGCCCTATGTTCCTCTAGGAATTAAAGGATAAAATAATAATAATGGTTAGATAATATAATGACAATCATAAATTGTTAAACCTAAAATAAAGTGTACAGCTATAGCACAACATGATATTGATAATATAGTTATAGCATTACAAACAAAATAAAATAAAAATATAATAAGATAATATTTAGTTATCCTGTGTCACTGGGAACGATAACTATTTTAGATTGGGGGTGAAGGTCAACAGAGGTAGAGAGATTGAACAAACTTTTTCTGAACACAGAGATTGTGTTGTAAATTTTTATGGCAACTGCCTCAGCTAAGCTTAGCAGTCGAAGACGTACCAACCTCGGGAGTTAAGGTGGCACCTTGTATAGAATTGTAAAAGCTGAATTTTTGTCAATCTTGTGCTCCCTGTTCACTAGGTGTGCCAGTATGGAACTTCTTCTGGGCATTACGACTCCTTTACCTAAGCACGTTGGACCATGCTGCAAGAAGGCGACGGTGGGCTTTCCGAGTCGTTCTACTTATGTGACTTTCTCCCTCCTTTGGCCTTCGCCCACCATCTAAAATAGTTGTCTCTCCCGGCGAAAACCAGCAAACTGGCTGGCAGCGAAGATAGGACTGCAAGTGAACACAGAAAAGACGCAGGTGATGAAGATAACTAAAGGATCTCAATAACCAGCACCAATCACCCTCAACGGAAGAGATTCGACACAAGTTACCTCTTTCACTTATCTAGCTAGGAAGCATCGTTTCAACTACAGGCAGTCGGAACAGATGAAGATATCAAAGCCAGGCAGAATCGGAAAGGCAAGGATACACCTCCATCAACCTGAAACCAATTTGGAAATCTTCTACACTCAGCTAGAATAAAGAACAAAATTCGGGTTCTGTTCAATACAAACGTCAAGTCATTCAGTCCTTCTATACGGGTCAGAAACTTGGCCTGGGTGTCACAAAAATGGCCATCAAATGGCCAGAAAGAATAAGTAACAAGAAACTCTTCAGTGGAACAAAGTGGCGAAAGAGAAAGTGGAGATGGATCGGGCATCCATTGAGGAGGCCACCGAAGGATATCGCGCGCAATGAAGGCCACTGCTTGAGTGGAATCCCAATGGGAAGCGACGAGTGGGTCGTCAGTGCGAGGGTGACATGGAGGAGATCGTATGAGGAAGAGATGGGAGATTATAATCGATCATGGACCGAGCTGAAGAGGACAGCAAAAAACAGAAACAAAGTGGCGATGTGTTGTTGAAGCCATCGCTATGTTCCACCGGAACGCAAGGGAATAATAGTAATAATAATAAACTGACTTCGTTCAAGACAAAGTGTAATGTAAAAAGAAATATAGTATTTTGAGAAAACTTACCTAAATACGTCTGTACACTTATATCTTCTGATCGAAAAAGATATTGAATAGCCATATCCATATTAAATAAACTTGATGTAAACAAACGTCGTAGACATGAAGAAGAATCATTCAAGACAAGGGAATCATCTGTAATGCAAAAAAAAATACGAAAATAATCAGGAAACTATTTCATCATCATATAATGCTGATGACGAATGAAGAGTTAAGACAGAAAATCAGGCAACATTCACTACATACTGATCCCTCTATGATGTACGAAGACGATTCATATTTGTTTTTAGCAAATGACTTCGTGACTTTAAACAGAAACATGGAACGTTAGATTGGGACAAATTCCATCAATGAAAAAGAATGTGTGCTTGAAGCAGCTGTACGTGAATATAAACCCCACACATAAATGGATATGTAAGGGTTGAAGACGAAAGACTTCGTAAAGGAATGCTTATTTGCGATTTGGTATCTCTGTTATAGCAAAATTATGTACACCTTATCGTCAAATCACCATTTGCACAGATATTCTGTGTTGGTTAATGTTTAAGCCCGTTTATGCTCATTTCCTCTTTTGATGGAATAGATGGAACCATATCTCTCTGCAACAGTTTGTGGCCCTCCCCACTCCGGGGGACGGGAGGGACGTTTCCGTGAACCTGACCCCTAGCTAACTGCGTCTTTCTTTCTCTACATTTTACTTGATCGCCGACCTTAAAGGTTCTGCATCACATCTTCTCTCCCTATTCTGATTTCATAGAGTCTTTCTTTTGTTTGCACATCACATTCATGACTACGTCTTTCCGTTCCATTCGCAGCCTCGTCATACCCCACTCCTGGGTGGAGGGACCAGATTGTGTTGTAAATTGATAGTCATGGTTTCCTCCAATACGTCAACTGAAATGGTGACTTCTTTGTTTTTTCCTGGATTGACACACGTTGTGCTCTATGCCCCAGTTAACTCCCTTCGAGGCCAGCCACTACTTTAGTTTACGGTTATTTCTCTCTGTCAAAGCATTCGTTTGTGGATGATATGGTGTTTTCTGAATCTTCTTAATCCCCAGCTGTTGAGGACGGGAAGTAAATTCTTCGCTTTCAAAACAAAGGACCCTGATCTGTCAATATCGTCTTTGGTACACCGTGGTCTGCAACGATGTGCTAAAATACTGCATCAGTTACAGTTCTCATGCGTTGGTCAAGGATCGCGGCGGCGTCTACCCATCGTGTAACGTGGTAGTGATTGCCACCGGACGTCCGCGGAAACGAATCTATCACATCTATGGATCACAGGTCATCTCTACTACCGTAACTGGAATCGACTTCACAGGTGGTCGAATGGACTGATCTCCTTTCATCAACTGACATTCTGAGGACATCCAAGTACGTATTTCGCTACATCTCTCTAATCTAAGCAGTACATGCTTAGTCTCAAGAGGTCGGTTGTTCTGGCTACTCTTGTATGTGCTAGCTTGTGACATTCTTATGTCGCCTCATGGCGTAGACACTAAGGTATTACCAACAACCAGCTTCCATTGTTCTCTCGCCAAATCAGAGTTCCGTAGGCGTCCACAGATACACTGAGATTTCATAAGTGCGAAACAAACGTACAAATGGGTTAACATATACTTCAGCACATCAATTTAAGCTGATATATTGTATAGACTCAGAGAAAATTTCATACTCTTATACAACCCCAAGTATTAATCGGACAATCGGCTTTCACGAACAGACATACAAATAAACTGAGGAGGTTGCGATCATAAAGTTTGCAGATTTGTCAGGAATGTCAACAGTTATCAGTTTTATCAGCTATTCATCCATCAGGAATATTGCTAGAAATATGAAAAGAATGAAGAATGATCAAATGAAGATTTCACCTAACAAAAATGAGATGTTCCAGAACCTCAGAATAGTGACATATCTCACTGGCTGAATTTCAACCTAGAACTTTGCGCAGAAGTGCAGCGGGGTCCAAGTTACCACACTCCATGTTGCACACAGAGATAAAGAGAAGATATCCAAAATAGAGTGAATGCATCCGCGCCAATGAGAACGATTCTGAGCCATACCATCTGTCTGTCTGTCTGGATTCAACATAGAACTTGGCACCGAAGTGCAGCAGTTCGAGTTGCCACGTTCCAATTGGCACACAAGGTAGACAAGAAGATGAGTGAAGAGAATCAATAGAGTTTGACAAATATAAGAGTGAAACAGAATGGGTATTGGTTGAAAGGAATATGAAAGATTACAGAGACTGAATACATCTTCGCCATTGACAACGATTTTGAGCCATGTCACCTATTGTCTCCAGCCATTGATTCCTAGAGTCCCGAGGGCCCCAACCCGGGAGTCTGCATCTCCCTACCTGACTCAGTTTAACTGTCAAGGATTTCATGGATTGATGCCATGTTTTTGTTTGGCCACCACTTACTCTTTTCCAACCTGAACCTATATCAGCTAGCAAAGCCCGTCGTGGGAGGCGGTGGTTAGGCATGCGCACCACGTGACCTAGCCATCTCAATCTATGTAACTTTATAGCCTCGTAGATTGATTTTCCCTCTTTGCCCAACACTCTACTCCTAACGTCAACATTACTTATCTTGTGAAACCACCTAACGTGAGACAGAGATCGCAGACATCTATGATCGAAAGCAGTCAACCTTTTCATGTCTTCAACGTGTATTGGCCATGTTTCAGAGCCATAGACAAGGACGGAGCGAACTGCTGAGTAGTACACACGTCCCTTGGTTGATAACCGGATGTCACGCCTACGCCAGAGATGGTGTAAGTCAGCGAAAGCAGCTCGAGCTTTTCGGATCCGTGCTGAGATTTCGTTGCCAATCAGTCCGTTGGTGCTGATACAACTTCCCAAATAGGTGAAGTGGTCAAAATGTTCTATCACTTCACTCCCTATCACTAAGTTAGGGGTTGACGGGGTCCAGTCCTGTAGCAGCATCTTACATTTTGCAGGGGCGAATCGCATGCCAAACATACGAAGATAGTCTCAAGTCATAGATTCTTAGCTTCCCAAGGACCCCAACTAAGCAGTCTACACCTCCCTACATAACTAAAACGAAATGTCTAAGACAAGGCCAAATGAAATTCAAAAACGAACACTATCAACACAGGAAGGATATAACCTTACTTCATTGCAGTACAAATTTACACAACTCATGTACACATCAGGTAGAAGATAATAGGATGAAGACAAAGAGAGCATATAATCAAAGCACTAAAAGTTCTATAAGGCAATACGAAAAAGACAAAGCAAATAGAGAAGTTTAGGTTTACAATTAAGCAAAATAAAGTAAGAATGCACCCCGAGTCACTTTGGTCGATTTGGTCAACATTAGTGACAGACGTGAATGACGCCCCCCCCCCATAATCACTTGCATCTCGATGAGAATCAGACCATGGATTATTTCGATGACTTTAATTGCTCATAAAAGCATACTGTTTGATACATTTAAAATTCATTTAAATATTTAGAGCATAGAACAGAAAGGTACATAACAGAAACACCAGGTTACACTGTATGTATTGGGCTTCTTGCGACTAAAGTCTTAAAATGATAACTGACAGGTCGAATAAGACAGCCATCTGACTGTACCTGACAGTGTAAAGAATAAACAGCACAATCGAATGACCTTGAACCAACCAATCAGATTGCTAAGCACTACAAATGAATATTTTCTATAATCTTCGTTGTAAGTTTCAACCTAACCTCAATCATAACCCTATCTAAATCCTACGCTAACCTTAACCCAGAATCAGGATGAAACTTGCAAGGAAGACTGTGAACAGCGTCCATTTTTGATGCTGAGCAGTGATCTGACTGGTTGGTTCGATATCACCGGGCTATAGTGTTTATACTGTTGCCTAGAAGGCCTATAAGTACCTCAGAGTCTACCCCAAGGTTTTTTAAGCATCACTTTAGGCAGTGATTGGCACGAATGAAATGAATCTAAAGCACTACGTAACTTCATACTATGCACAGCATTTCAGGAAAGGTGATTTAGATGCCCCATAATGTACTAATTTCGACTAGAATGAATAAGTGAAGCGATCTCCACACACAAATAATTAAATTCGTCGATTTAAAGCAAGAATCGTCTGGATAAGTTTCAGATGTTAAAACGGAAAATTTATGAAACAAGAACAAATGGTACGGAAGAGTACGTGTCTACTGACTTTTGCTTTAAATATGTTCAAAGACAATGCTAAAGGCTTTGCAGACCCAAGACACTCTGGTATACGAAGTACTATTTGAGTTACACTATTTGAAGAGTAGCTACATTGACATTTAATGACCGAAAATTGACAAAATAGACCAACCATACACAAGTCTTTGTAGAAAGTTTGAAGCACTTAGCAGTGTCAAACTTAAAATTGGTTTTAACTTAGTCATAGCTACAGAAAATAGTTCTCTGGGGAGGGATGAAACAAAAGCTCCTACAGTTAAAAGCTTGTAATCTTTCCAGGAGTTGCTTGTTCAACTACCGTCGAGGATTTAAAGCAGAGAGAACTGCTGTACAATACGCAAACCCTTTGCATCAGTGCTTAGATTTAATCAACAATTAGTCCATTAAGGTTGATGCACCTGCCTAATAAGCGGGATGATCGAGATACTCTGTCATGTCACTTTATATTGTCTGTCTGTTTTCGACATAGAACTTTGCACAAATGTGCGGAAGTTCAAGTCGCCACATTCCGTGTAGCACGCGAAGCAAGAGAAGAAAGTACAAGAAAAGCATAATAGAAACAGTGAGCAGAGGTGTGAGACAAAGGAGTAATAAAGAAATACAAAACAGTTTCATTGAAGATCATAAGTCACAGGGAGTGGATGCATCTGCGCCACTGAGAACGATTTTGAGCCATGTCACCAATTGTTTCCAACCATAGATTTTTACCGTCCCGAGGACCCCAGCCTGGAAGTCTACACCTTCCTACGTGGCTTAGACCAACTGTTGTGGATTTCATTGACTGATGCCAAGTTTTTGTTTGACCGCCGCTAGCTTTTTTCCAGCCTGACCCTATATCCGCTAACATTGCTCGTCGAGGGAGGCGATGGCTTGGCATACGTAACACATGTCCTAACCATCTCAGTCTTTGTAGCTTCACGACTTCGTCGATTGATTTCCCCTGTTTACCTAGAACTCTACGCCTAACCTCCATGTTGCTCACCTTATTATGCCACTTTACACGGGAAATAGAACGCAGGCACCTATGATCAAAGACAGCTAGTCTTTTCATGTCTTCCACTCTCAGTGGCCAGGTCTCACAACCATAAAGGAGGACGGAGCGGACTGATGAGCAGTACACCCGCCCTTTGGTCGATAGTCGAACATCTCGTCTACGCCAGAGTCGGCGTAAACTAACAAATGCGAAACGAGCCCCTTGTATTCGTGCTGAGATTTCGTCAGAGATCAGCCCGTTGGGGCTGATGGTACTTCCCAAATAAGTGAAGCGGTCAACGTGCTCTACCACTTCACTTCCTATTTTTAAACTAGGCGTCGATGTAGTCCAGTCCTGTAACATCATCTTGCATTTGGCGGGAGCGAATCGCATGCCAAACATTCGTAGATTGCGGCTCAAGGTGTTTAGAAGACTCTGCATTTCGTCAGCGTCTTCGCCTAGAAGGACTATATCGTCTGCATATTCCAAGTCAACGAGATTATTCCCCGGTAGCAAGTCAATCCCTGAGTCGCTGAAGTCACCTAGGGTTAAGTCCATTAACACATCTATGATGAAGTTGAATAGAAAAGGAGATAATGGGCATCCTTGACGGACACCACTGGTCGTCATCAGTTCAGATGACAGCTCGCCGTAAGCCCTCACCTGGCTGTATGAGTACGAATAGAGTGCCTTAATCAGTGCAATATATTTTCTTGGAATTCCCTTTACAGCCAAGCATCTCCAGAGAACTTCCCGATCGACAGAGTCGAATGCTGCCTTTAGGTCAAGAAATATAATGACTGTTGGACGCCGGTAGGAATGCCTATGTTCTAGAATCTGTCGGAGGGTGAAGATATGATCAATACACCCTCTTCCTGGTCTAAAGCCTGCCTGGCTCTCTCGTGTTTGTGCTTCCCGAGCACCACTCAGTCTACGCATGATTATTGAGCCTAAGACTTTAGATACTATATTAGTCAAGCTAATCCCTCTGTGATTATCACAGGAAGACTTGTCTCCCTTCTTGTATATGGGGATAATCAGTGACTTACACCAACCCGATGGGACTTCTTCTGATTCCCAGACGCTGCCTAGTACCTCAGTTAATCCGGACAGTAAGCTGTCTCCACCGTACTTAAATACCTCTGGCGTCATTCCATCAGGTCCCGCTGCTTTGCCTAGTTTCAGATTGGTGACAGCTTTAGTAACCTCAGTTAGTGACGGAGGACCTGTGTCTATATCCCATTCAGGGAGGTGTTGGATGCTCGGAAGGTTGAGCGTGGCTGTGGGCAAATTAAACTGCTCCTCATAATGCTCTTTCCAACGATCCAGTCGTCTATCCTGGAGCTAATTATAGTGCCATTTTTTTCCGAGATTGTCTCACTGATGATTTGTCTTCTCCCACCCGTTTCCCTGATGAGTCCAAAGAGTTGCCTGGTGTTGCCTATCCTCGAAGCTTTCTCCATCTCTTTGGCTTTTGTCGCCCACCACTGTTCACGGTCCTTGCGGAGACTTTTCGTAAGTTTCCTCTTGTGCAGCTTTCGCTCCTCATTGAATTCGGAGCTCGCCGGAATAAGTCTTCTAGCATCTATCAGTTCGGATGAGGCGGTGGAGATCCAGTGGTTTTTACTCACCTTTGGGTTTACCTTATTCACAGCTTTTACAGCTGTATCTATGGCTGCCTGGATATTTTTCCAAGCTTCTTCAGGGTGAGCACAGCTGTCGAACACAGATATGTGTTTAGCTAGTTCTTCCTCAAATACGGATTTAGTTTCCTGATCGAGCTGGGGACGTGATGGTTTTACCGCCAGCTGTTTCCTACGTCCGTTCAGTCGTAAGCACACCCGAGCGCGGACCAGTGCATGGTCGGTATCTACGCACGTGTTCCAGAAGGAGCGACAATCTCCTACCGACCCACGCCAACGATAGCTTATTGCTATGTGGTCTATTTGTGTCCAGCGTTGGTTTGATGAAGGGGGTCTCCAAGTCAAACAGTGTCTATATTAATAAAGTGGGAGTCACTACAGGCCGGTCTAGTAGTATAACCTTGGATCTCACACAGACAAATGGCAAGCCAAACGTATTCAGCTTTTTGACCAGGAGATTCGGAAGATTGCACTTTGTCAGTACTGTCAACTAACACAACTATAGTCAAAATCAACTCTAAACAAATCAGCTGATTAATTCTATGACCATCCGCCATTAGTCAGTCAGTATATCTACAAAAAATTTTAGAAGGAATAGTGACATTATGGATCTTTGGCAGATATCGCTGGTTGTTTTTAATTCTTGTTGGTTTTAAGCTCTTGACGAGGCCACAGTTCTGGATAAGTTATTTGACTGGCATAAAACACTTTTCAGATATAACATTAACCGGTGGAGTTGACTATGGCTTTCATGTCCAAAAAAGATATGCTGTCTGTATATGCGAATATATTGGAGTGAAAACTTAATCAGTGCTCCCCAATTTGTAACCAATGACCAGGTGTCAGGCCAATTTCTCTAAAGTTAACACAGGATAGTTTAATATAAACAGAGGTGACTGATGGTTTAACTTCCCTTCTACACTATTTCAGGATTCTATGTACCAGCATTCACTGTCCCTATTTGTTTTATTTCATTATATATGTACTAATGGACTTAGCTGTAACTGAATACAGCGACTCAGAGATTGGTTTGTTACCAACAGGGAATAATCTCGTTAACTTAGAATATGCAGATGATATAGTTCTTCTAAGCGAAGACGCTGACAAAATGCAGAGTCTTCTGAACACCTTGAGCTGGGTAGCAATCTTTGAATAATTGTCAAGCGATTCACTCCCTTTGTAAAATGAAATATGATGAAGCTATAGGACTGAGTGAACTACATCGACTCATTTGTAACTTAAAGATAGACAGGAGTGAAATGGTAGTTGGTGGAGCGTGTTGAACACTTCACTCACCCTTCTGGTGAGTTGCATCAGCCAACACTAGTGTGTTGATCTGATTGGTGACGAAATCTCAGCACGGATACAGAAAGCTAGTTTCGCATATACCAGTTAACACCATCTGTGGCTTAGTAGACGTGATATCCGGCTGGTTTTCGATCAGATGTGTGTACTGCTCGGCAGTTCCCACTGTCCTCCTTTATGTCTGGCTGTGAGTTAGGCATGGCCAATGAAAGTGGAAGACATGAACCGGACAGCAAACTATCTTTGATCATTGGTGTCTGAGTTCTACCTACTTCCGTGTGAAGTAGTATAATAATAGGCATCCGCCGAGTGCCAGTTGATGAGGGGAAGTCAATCGACAAGGTTGTGAAGTTACACTGATTGAGATGTTCAGGGCATCTGTTACGCGTGATCGACTAGTTATTACCTCCCTCGACGACGGGCGATGTTCGCTGACAAAGGATGGATCAGGTTGGAAAACACGGCCTTATCAGTCAACGATATGCAAAAGTCAGTTTAAGCCAGCCAGTCAGGTAGGTCAGTGTGGACTTGTTACCTTATTTTGGTCCTCGGGACGGTAAACATTAATGAATGTTGGAGAAAATTTGTGATATGGTTCAAAATCGTTCTCAATGGTTGACGCAGATGTATTCATTCATTGTGATTTATAACATTCAATAAAACTATTTCCTCCATATTACTATTCTTTTCGCATCATATTTCTGTTTATTATGTCTTTATAATCTCTCCTTACTCTCTAGTCTTGCTCTGTGTGGTACATGGAGTGTGGTAACCCGGACTGCTGCAGATCTGTGCAAAGTTTTATGTTGAAAGCAGCCAGTCAGTAGGGAACGCAGCATAACTACATATAACCTTCAATGCATGAGGGTTCCCGGTTTTTTCGAGACTTTTGAGCGAGGATGCCTGAGTTACCTAACAGAGGTCAAGAATATAGTAAATAAGCGCGTTCACTGGGGTTACTTGAGAAGAACCTGTTTGCCGAACAACAGCCAGTGTAACAATAAGACTTCTAATTGTATTTCGAGAGAACATGTGAAGTATGTTGCTACTACTACTATTACTTCTGATCATCACTGTATTGAAATCACTGAGGATATTAATGAGGTATCATTTTAAAAGTAATCTCACAAATCTTGATTAGTGATAGATATACCCATCAAAATAGGAAGCATTTCTGGAAACACTAGTGGCTTCAGTTAAGTCAGTCGCTGAAAAACGCGGTGTCTGTTGAGTTCCAAGAGGCTGGGACTTAAATCAAAAAGAGGAGTGTGAAACACATAAAAAAGACATACATGGACCAAAGAATTACCTCAGATATTTCTAACCCACAAAATTAACCTTTATACGCACGCACAAAACATCAACTTACTTATGCTTTCACGACAACAGCAAGCTGCATTTTCCGAACTTGAATTTGCGTGACTAATGTAATCTACAGCTGATGGTGAATTTGCACCATTATCGTGAAGTACAATATTAGTGGATTCTTTAGCACTATTAGATTTTTTATGTAATATATCCTGGTTCGACGGTGACGTATCTGTTTCATCTTTTAGCTGAGTGAGACTGCTCACCCTGCAGGCACTTCCTAGTCGATATTCTGAGATGTCTGGCATCGAAAACGGTTAGTTCCACAGTTTAAGAAATAATAAAATGATATAAAGGGTAAAATTTTATACAAGGAATGGAACAGTCGGATAGCGATTGAAGTGAAGCATTATAAAATAAGTGAGATGAAAAGGGAAATAAAACAATTAGGCAGGCTTTATCAGTTATATTAATCCAAACACATCTACAGATTTTAAAATGCCCGCAGCTGGGATAGCCTTAAATCTTCTCAAGGTAGTGAGAAAAAACACGAATTTATAGAATATTGAACAGTGCTACACTGAATTGGCGCGTCATTCGTAAGATTCGTTATCGCAATGTCTTTGGAATATGCTCGCGTTGGGACTATTGAGGATATAACATCAAGTAATAATCGTGAATTACCTTATAATTTCAATAGTTGGTTCAACTACTAGCTTTCTTCAGGCTACAGCAGCTGAGGTTCGTTCAACAAGAGTCAATTGGCAGTCCTATCTCCAGTACGTTGACGTTTATTCACAATATATCCACTCACTCTAGGGGACAAATTATAAATGAAGAGCAATACTCTTTTATTAATCGATTGGATAACGCCCCTACAGCGGAAGCTCGAAATCATGTCATCAGAGCCGATGAGCAAATGGTATGTAACCATAATAATGATTATCCTGTAGACGGCAAGAGTTTTCACTTTTATTCTAAATAAAATATCCAAAGAACAAACTCTGCGTTATATCCTTACGCTTATTGATGATATACTTCAGGTATGTTTTCAAATAATCTTGTAGAATTATGAAATGCAGGAAGACAAATTACGGGTGGAGATATTCCGTGATTACTTTGCTAAAACGAAGGAATCACTATGGTCTCACTTCTTTGGTTTCTTTCAAAGAGGTGATCCTTTCTGCATGCACCAGGCCTCTAGAATAATAGCAAAGTTCGCATGTTGGTCCTCCCAACTAATGGAGGAAAACGACCTGATTTATTACTTGAATTGGCTAAGAGAGCAGCTAACTATCAGTGTAAGTTTTGTTTTTTAATAATCGTTGATAAATGCGTACTGTTTTGATTGAGTTTCTACTGTCTTGACAAAGCGTAATAATTAAAACTAAGCTTGTTAAGTAAAAATTCTATTTACTTGGAGACTGTATCCTTAAATAGGGTTGACGAAAAGCTGAAGCCAGAAACTGTCAACCATTTGCAGTTTTCCGCTCTTCAAAAGTTGGTGTTTTGATAAATTTTGTTAAGTACTGTTCATTGTACCTGAAAAAGTTCGGGAAAGTTCTTTCAGTATTACGTATAGAATGGTTTCCAAACTGACCTAATCACGATATAATGAGCAAACCAGTGTTGGTAACGAAGATAGTATTAGTTACAGGTAATGGTCCCCCCTCTGGAAGTTTACTTGTGACATAGAGAAGTTTTGAATCTCTTTATCTAATTACAAGAATATTTATTTCAATGATTTGAACCTCACAATCGGTACATACCTAAAAGAACATACTGTATTTTAATTTTCAGGCTTAAGAGTTGAAACATTTTCTAATGACTAAATAGTTCGATTCTATATTGCGTAAAAACTAGGAAAGTTAAAGTTGTAAACCAATCCTAACCTCTCCAAAAGTGGGTCGGCTTGTATTCTTGTCAGCTTCATACGTTTCATTTCAATGTTCGTCTCGGTTTATGTGAATGCTTGCAAGGTCAGCCTACTCCCAACTTAAGCTGATGTTGTCTTTTACTTTCATAACTGTTATACAGAACAATGAATATGATCAAACTGTTGCTCGAAATCTTCAAATGATGTTGCGCATTAAGGAGTATCGTATCCAGTTCGCTAAAGTTGGTGGAGTTGAAACGTGAGTACCTTCATTTTCAGCTATTTTTTTGTCTTATGATTAACTAGTCAATATAAAGTTCATAGCTTTATATTTCCCGATCTTGTGTAGATTCCAATGTTTATGAAGTTTCTGTTGCCATTGGTGCTTTTCTGTTTTGATCATCTGTAAGTGGATGAAGGCAGTCGGCATCGAAATTAACCTTTGTACCAGCGAAGGGTAACTTGTCATTTTTTGTGTAATAGAATCCAGTTGCCTGAAACATCTGTAATGTACCAGGGTATGTATGAGTCAGCGTGACAGTGTCACTGTAATACTACCCGGCTTTTGGGGATAGTAGAACACTATTTGCTTCATGTAACGATCCACTTGTTTGCTGAACTACCTTGCTCACCCTATGTTCAGAAGATATTGTAGAGTGGCAGCCTGATTCAATGCATTTCCTTCCGAACGACGTACTGTTTACACTACTAATCATTTTGCTCACATTTCTGCATATTATCGTTCCATTTACTAGTTTGTTTGTTTCCTATCATTTCACACACACAGAGGGCTTCATTTACACTTATACTATTAGGCGTTTCTATACCCTTTGATGTATCGATATCAGAAGTTCTACGTAATTCTTCTCTTACCTAGCAGCATTCTCCTTTGAAATTAATACATCAGTATGCCTGGGATAGTGATTATTGATTAGGAAAACTGGATTTTATCCTTAACACGTAGTTTGGTTTTAAATCTATGAGTCAGTTAATATGTGGTCCTGTGGAAACGCAACATATCGCATTACTCTATGCCTTTTTAACCGTACTCTTTTGTAAGGTTATCTGAAACGGATCGCTTATTGAGGTGTGGATATAGAATTTTAATAAAGGCTGATTTCGAGTGAAATTAAAAACAATAAAATATTGATTAGAAACAGGGACAAGAAGTTAAATGGCTGAAGGTTCCAAATTGTTTTGCTTACACCATATTTAGCTTAACTAACACGCTTTTTTGTATATTATGTTATCTGTAAATAGGATAAAAGTGCGCTGATTTTCTTGTGCTTCACCTTTCTCAGACAAACGAACATATTAGTGCTACTATACAGAAAGTAAACGAAAGCGAAACCATATTAAACCATGAAGAATAAGTGGGGAATCGAAAGTAGATAAATTAATTAGTTTTAGATAATGTTTCTGACAAACTTCTGTGCATAATATTTCAGCTTCTGGTGGACTTCAAATAGATATTCTGCATCAGAGGATTACGTGACAGTGCTACTTTCTTAACCTGATTATTCGTAGCCTCTTTTCAACTTCAATGTTTCACAATAGTCATCGAGGAAGGCAGTTCCCAGAAACTCTAGGTATGTATATTGCTCTCCTTAGCTAGTGAAGGTCCACAACTTCATTGAGGGGTTGGGCGTCTCATGCTTGTTGCCCTGTGTTTGATGGTGATACTACTCACTTCGTGGTCCAAAGATGCACAAAGTCCCAGCCGTCTATCCCCCTTACATTCTCGTATCATATTTCACGGATGTACTCTTACTGACACTATACTGTTACCATAAAAAGTAGTTGCATATAGATTTTTACTATTAATTCATTAGTAAACTATTGTTATTATCAAAATCTTGGCGTTAAATAATTACTCCTCTTGTTCACAGGATTGTCGATGTCCTTCAGGAAAAGACAACCAGTCGACAGCTGCAATACCAGTTGATTTTCTGTCTATGGTGTATGAGTTTTGACTCATATCATGTCACTGAGATATGCAAAAACTCTGCACTCCTGGCCACTGTAGCTGGGATTTTTCTTGAAGCAGATCGTGAGAAAATTACCAGAATTTCACTAGCTCTATTTCGTGTAAGTTGTATCTTCGTGAATAAGTGATCCTCTTAGTGGTTTTTCATTATTATTATTATTATAGTAATTTTCATACAACATTAGTTTTGTTGCATCAAATAGCTTCTGTGTTGTCTAGTCCTAAGTTTCAATTAGTAAGAACCTGATGCGTGTTTTTGGACGCTACTTTCAGTTCACTTTCGTTGATGAGTATTAAAATGTCAACAAGTAGTGTTATGTGCTTCAACATACTACTTTCATCAAGTGTCACATTTGCATTACTTGATATGGTATTTAGGTTTCAATCAAAAAAGGATAAATAGTAGACAGTTTGTGGGACATTATTATTATTATTACTATTATTGTTCCCTTGGGTTCCTAATGGAACATATGGCTTCGACTGCACGTCTCCACTTGCTTCTGCTGTATTTTTCACCTGTATCCATGTCGTTAGTTCATACTCTTTCAAGTCCTCTTCACACGATCTCCGTTTCACCCTCTCACTGACGACCCACTCGTCGCTTCCCTTTCGGCCTGGTTCCACTCGAGCAATGGCCTGATGCGCGCGCGATGTCACCCAGCGGCCTCCTCAGCGAGTGAGTGTTCAATCCATCTCCACTTTCTCCTGCATATTTGTTGGGCGATTGTCTCTTGTTTTGTTTGTTCCCATAGTCTCTTGTTGGTAATATTTTTTCGGCCATCTGATCTTCATTATACAGCGAAGACAGTTGTTGGTAAAGGTCTGCAACAGGCTGTTGAAAATATTCTTTGTGACCCGCCCGCCAAGTTTCTGATCCGTATAGAAGAGCTGACTGACTTGGCGTTTGTATTGAAAATCCGACCGAAATTTGTTGTTGGCTCTGAGTGACGAAGATTTCCAGATTGGTTTCAGGTTGATGAGTGAATGTGTTTCTCGCCTTCCCTATTCTCGCTCGATTTGACATCGTCGTCCATTCCTCCTACTGTAGTTGAGGCAATGCTCTCTAGATAAGTGAATGAAGTAACCTTTTTCAATTCCCTCCCGTCGATGGTGATTGGCGCTGGATGTTGTTGTTGTTGCTGTTGGTTGGTTATTTTCATAGCCTCCATCTTGTCTATGTTCACCTGGAGTCCTGTCTTAGCTGCTTCTTCGACCAGTTTGTCGGTCGGTTTTCGCTCACTTGTAAGTCTTCGATTTTATGTAACATCAAACATAAATCATCAACGCGGGAAATCCAGTTCTTCTATGTTCTTCGCGTCGGTCCAGGATATCCCTGTCTTCTCGTTTCCCACTCACTGTCCGATGCATAATCCAGTCAGTCCACCACAATTAGGAATATCTTCGTGGGTGATAATAAGCACCCTTGTTTGACTCCTGTATTTACTCCAAACGCCTCACTGAGTTTTCCGTTGTGGATGACTTGACATGTGCCGTTATCGTACAGCTGTTGAATAAGGTTGATGAATATTTGAGGTACGCCATAGTACTCGAGTAGTTTCCAAATTACTTCGCGGTCAACGCTGTGGAAGGCCTTCTCAAAATCTATAAAATTGAGGTATAGGTAGAGAGACATAGTACGGTTAATCTTCCTGAAGTCTGCTACTGTCTTCAGTGCTTATGAAGATACTTTTTCTAAATATAAAGAGTTCATGAGTCTCAACAATCTTCTTAGCACTGATTAATGCGTGATAAAGACTCCACAGGAGTACTGCATACAATAAAAGACAAAGACAACCCACACATCCCAGAGATGGTTGTGACGGACAGCGAAAGACAAAGAGATAAATGAAACAGCCGTTCTGGATAAAGATAGACGATTAGTATGATTGATTGAAAAGCCTCATGGTATAAAATATGGACGTTTGCGAGTGTATGATGTAGGAGTATAGGTTGTTATTTCATTTACATGGTTACTAACTGGAAACGTGGACGATCTCTGAAACACAGTTCAGCTGGCTTTCGAATGTCTTTCATTTGCCCATTACTTAGTCTGCAGAGTTCGCATAGATTGAAAAATCTGTCAGAGGCTCCAAACGAAGATGCACGATAAACTATTCCTGAGGTCATTTAAGGAGTATACTTTCATGATTATTAACTGAACTTGAATATGTGAGTCATAAACAGTTTAATACTATCGATAAATGTAAACGTATCACCAATGGAAAACTTAGATACTTACCTGCTTACTACAGTTCTTCATTGCTGTCATCAATTTACTAGTTCAAAACGTAGCTCAAATAATCTTCTGACTGAAGAGCTTATAGACCAACTTAAAGAACTAGAGAAGAATGATGATATTATCATATGCCGTCCAGACAAAGGTGGGTGTGTGCTGTAGTTATGAATTCCCAAGATTATAATAATAAAATCTCAGCTATCCTTTCTTATCAAATGAAATTCAGCAAACCCAATGGTGAAAAGAACAAAACACATCTAATTGAAAATCAACTGACTTATTGTCTCAAAGAACATGAGGAATAAGGCAGTAATTTCGTCATATATATATATATATGAACGCATCCAGCCAGTAGGCTTCATGATACCACGTTTGTATGGACTACCGAAAATTCACAAGACATAATTACCCCTCCGTCCAATTCTCGATATGGCAGGTTCTCCTTATCACGGAATTGCTCAATGGTTAGCTGAAATACTGGAACCAGTTAGAAGGTAAGTATCTAATTTTTCCATTGATGATACGTTTACATTTATTGACAGTATTATAGATTGTAAATAATTCCCTATGAACTAGTCTTAATTACCAATCAGAAATGTCAAGTCCTCCATAGCACCCAGTACTCTGGCATCACTTTTAGTGGGCTGCACGACCATCCATAAACTTTTATTTCCTCTCCACATTATCTCCATATCACGCACGAACATCCAACGCCTCGCTTCTCTTAGTGATTTCACGTAACAGCTTGACATGTTTAGTGCTTGTTGAATGTTTCCTCGGTGTGTGTGCTTGGTGATGGTGATAGGGAAAAACGCTCTTAGCTCGTGATTAACAGTGTGTTAAGTGTTATTCTTCTTTAATTTGCAACTCCTTTTGTTCTTTTTTCTTTTTTTCTGCTGATTTCTATAGAGTGTCTTAGAAAAGCTGCCGACAAGCACTGAACAAAGAGAATGTGGTTTACGCTTAGTTCAGTATAAAGTATTACGAGAGTTAGAATTACTCGGTCAAAAAGATTTTAGTCATGATCCTGAATTGACAGATGATATTGCATTTCTAAATGTAAGTCACTATGTGAATAAATTTTACACTGATCTAGTTATCTAATCCTTAATATTAAAATTTACCGTTGATTCTTCATAGTCCTCATCACCTGCCTACATTTACGGTATGGAATGAAATGATCAGACCTGATAAAAATGGACTGGAATTTAAACCTAATGATTTATCATTGTAAAACGTATAAAATTTCTTGTTGTGAATCGATGAGGATGTGATTAAGTTTTATTATTTTATTTATTATTTATTACTATTATTATTTTATTATGCATCCCAATACATTGCCTACCTTTATGAGTTGTGACACGGCTGTTGTTATCTTTAACCTTGGGTGTCTGTTGTGTTAGGTGACATAATATTACTGGTCAATAATCATAAAGTTAGGTGTAGAGGGAAAATCAGTTTATGACGTTCTACAGCTGCATTGATGGAGGTAGTTAGAATATGTGTTACTCGTGTCAAGACATTATTGACCAATGCTAGCTGATATCGAATTGGGTCGTCGGAAAAGAGTGACGATGGTCAAACCAAAAATGCCTTTAGTATACGAAGTCTTTGATTGTTGGTTTGAGCTGCACAGAGAGGTTAAGACCATCTGGCTGGTTCCCTCATGCTATCAAGAGTCGATAGTTAAGTACTTTTCGTAACATGAGTCAAAATCATAGGTTTCCAGACCGTAGGTGTTACGAACTTCCTGGGATAATTTGAGCGCCGAGTCTGCTGAAGAAGCTGTGGCTTACATGGCGAAACGTTCGGAAAACAGATCTTGTTTTGATTTCGATTAACACACTGGGATTAATTTAAATAATTTATAATTAGTCAAAATCGTTCTCAGTGTTGCAGATTCATTCACTTTCTGTAAGGTCTCGAACTCATTATTCTTGTATTTCTTTTTTTCTCTATCTTTATGTGTGGTTTTACCAAGTGTAATAGCTTGAGGTGTTGCATCTTAGTGCAAAGTTTTACAGTGGAAATCCATGTCAGTTAACTTAATTTTTATTTTATTCTTTTACCTTCCCAGTGGAACATAGGGAGGGCTTCAAGCTAGAGCCTTTAAGTTTCTGTAACAGTGGTGTTTATGTTTACGGAATGGAGTTGCTAACCTTCCGTCTTTACCAGCCTTATTACTGGCTGAGCGAGGTAAAGGAGTGCGTCGGTGGCCGAGAACTGAACGCTGAATCACCTACGTCGTTGATTAGCATCCCACTGCTCTGCCACCGACGCCAGTTAACTGCTTCACCGATATATCATGAGATTGTGTATGAGTAATATGTGAGGTAACTGTTTCAGAATCGATTGTTCGTAAGTGAATATTATGATGACAATTGATTCACTACTAGTGAGGAGTAGATGAGTAAATCATCTTGCCGAAATTCAGTTCAAATGAGCACCTGATTGAGTCATTTTATTCAATGCTACATTACTCACTCCTTTATGCCTGTGAAACATGACCATTGAAAGGGGAAGACATGTCAAGTCCTGCTAGCTGTCTTTGATAATAGGTATCTGCATTCTATCTCCTGTATTAAGTGGTATAACAAGGTGTGAGCAATATTCAGTTGGTTAGACGTAGATAAGGAGGGGAAGTCAATCGTAGGGAAATTATGAATTTACACCGATTAAGATGGTTAAGACATGTGTTACGCAAGCATGCCTTTCTCGACAACGCGCAGTATTAACTGACATGGGATGGATCAATCAGGTTGGAAAAGAGTTAGCTACTGGTGGTCAAACGAGAATATGACTTCATCACTCAATGAAAAATGCAAAATAGTTTGTTTAAATCAGCCAGTCACGTAGGGAGATGTAGACTTCCTGACGAACTGGTTGGGGTCCTCTGGATGGTTTCTGTAGCAGTGTTAACTTTTACAGGATGGGGTTGCTAGCCTCATGCCCAACCTTTCCTCTTTACCAGTCTTACTACTGGCTTAGCGAGGTAAAGGAGTGCACCGGCTGGGGATCGAACCCCGGACCATGTGCATGGTCGGCGGGCGTCCTAACCGCTGTGCCACCGACGCACTAGATGTGATATATAATAATCAATAAAATTCTATTGTTCTTCCATCATATTACCCTTCTTTTTCCCTCGCACTTGTGTTTCGTATCTCTCTTTTGAATCTCTTCTCTTTACTCTGTGGGCTCCATGGAGGGGGAGAGTAGCGATTTGAAGTGTCGCACATCTGTGCACAGTTGTTGTATGTTGAATACAGTCAATCAGCTTTATATGACAATTATTATCACAATCTGATGGTTGTAGGTTTTATACCTCGTCAGCTTTGTGGCTTCACAATGGCTAAAGGGTGCCGAACTAAGACAGAACAAATTGTTCGGTACCCCTGGTTTTTGAATTATTCTCCAGTTCACAATCAAGTCATTGTTAAGAAAACCCGAAATCCAAGTATTAATTGTTTGTTTAAATTTATTCAAAGTAGTTATATTTGTTTTAACACTTTTTTTTGCTTAATATTTCATTTTATCTGTGAATAATGTGTATAAAAGGAAAAGTTATCTGCAAGTATACAAGATGTAAGCAGTTTAGATGAATATATGGCTGAATTGAAATCTGGTCGGTTAGAATGGTCACCAGTGCATAAATCCGAAAAGTTTTGGTATGAAAATGCTGTGAAATTCACCGATAACAATTATGAAATGTTAAAGTAAGTTGAAAAAAAGATCAAATTGTTCTTTTTCTGAACATTGGTGATGATGGTGTGTGTTTTCCTCACCCACCCCATACACCTGTCCGTGTGTGTGTGTGTGTGTATATTGTGGCCTAAAAATTAGTTTTATAATTTACAAGTATTTCGTTTTGTAGGGATTTTGTTTAATCGGATGGAGAATTTCATCATATGCTGACATCAGTTATAGAGAACCATTAGAAAACCAGCTGGAAGTAATTTACAGCCAGCTGTTTCGTCAGCCCAGTTTGGGACTCTTCATCAGTACACGCACCCAACGCCAAGGTTCCAACCCACTGACTGCCTTCTGGTTACAAGGCGAGTTAGCTTGTAGACCATTAAGTCACTGGGATCCGATTTAATGACCAGAGCATGAATTCCAACTTCTGCTGTATTTCATCAGCAACTGGCATCGGGGTTAAAGGACCATTGGAATTGTCAGAAGTCTAAGTTATCACACATTTAAAACAGAACTTAGCTGTCTTGTAGATATGAACATAAAAGATGGGAAAATGTATTCATTTACTAATGTACCATTGGTTAAGACTGTTGATATTCTTTGTGACTACATATCTTCTAGTTGTTTTCATTTCCTTTAACTTATTTGAAAGATTTATTACTATTATGTACTGACAACGTCCATTTCACGTTTGAAGGTGAACATTTTCGACAAGTGGATGGCGTTGCTATAGGGAGTCCATTAGGACCTTTGTTACCGGACGTGTACATGTCTTATGTTGAAAACTTATCCTTTGATCTAATTTCTAAATTGCCCTTCTATAAGAGATATGTAGATGATATCATTTTGATAGGCGACGATGATGAAGATGTGAGTCGTCTATTAGACAGGCTTAACTCTGTACAGAATCGTATTAGTCTAACATACGAAGAAGAAAGTCGCAACCAGTTTGCATTTTTAGACATACTTCTGAGTCGAAGAGATGATGGCTCAATAAGACGGTCTATCTACAGAAAGCCCACTTGGACAGGGAAATACCTTAATTTGCACAGCTTCTGTCCATTACAGTATAAGAGAGGCCTGGTGAAGTGTCTATATAAGAGGATTCAGCGTATTTGCACGGCTGATGTTATAGACAAAGAAAATGAAATATTGATGGATACTCTTGTTGAAAATGGATATCCTTTAAAATTTTTAAACAGGTGTAGAAGTCAACTAGTCTCTAAACCTACAATTCATACCGTTCCTAAGAAAAAGGTTTTCATCAAATTACCATATAACGGGGAAATAAACAGTAGGATTTTGAGACAGAGGTTGAATTCGATCATCCGTAGAACCTATTATGCAGCCCAGCTTGTAATTGTGGAAAAAAGGTAAAAATATGCTTCACTGTAAACCTCAAAAGTGAACAAGTGATTATATCACATCCCATACAATTTACCAATTTTCGTGTGTGTGTGTGTGGACATACACAGATAGGGAGGAGTAATCGCGTTTTGCACGTGAGGGTGGGAGAGCATATCCCAAAATGACTAGAAAAACAAATGAATTGTGATGAGCCAATAGATGCAGGTGTCAGACAACCAACTCCGTCTATAGCTAAGCATCTAATCGAGATGAACCATAAGATTGATGTAAACTCAGTCTTTAAGGTCATCTATAAAAACGGTCAAGGGCGTTTACTGAAATACGCTGAGGCTATAGCTATTCATAAACTTAAGCCACCCCCTCTGTGTATTCAAAAAGTTTGTTATTACTCTTAACCTACCTTGGTAATCCTTATTTGATTGGATTACCAAACGTTGTGTTAATAATTCTTAAATCCGTTTTTGTCACTTGGTTTAATTTAACTTTTCCATGTATGTTGACTTGACAAGTAAATGTGTGATCAGATTGTTCGAAATGTATAGCGCCAATACATCACATTTTTCAGATAATCTACTTCTTCTATTAATGCTATCAAAATTTGTGTATTCGGTGTTTCATAATTGCTGGATGGATATGTGGCTCATTTGCTCAAAACAATCGACTTATAGTAGATAGGTCCCAGGTCCGAGCCCCACTCGACCTACTACGGTCTGGACAATTGGGTGATAGGTAGTATCTTGTCAGCCTTTATACAGTAAGTTTGACTTACAGTCTGGCACATGGGGAAATGTGTTCCAGCTAACTGACCTCAAACATCTGCATATTCTTACATTATTAAAAAATAAGCAAGTATAAACATTTGAATAATGTAATTGTAAAACAGGTGATTGTTGTTGTATAAAAGTGTCAGACTAACAACTGTAGCACCAGACTTTTGGTCAGGAGTTCTTGAATTCAAATTCCCGTCTACCTACTTCAGTTTCAGTGGGTGGAAAGCATCATCATCATCAGTCCTCACAGAAGGATTGAAACTCATAGTCTATTACGCATTTGAGATCTGCACTCCATCTGGACAACATCAAAAGCTGATTTTGTTTTACTTTTTTCTTCCGAATTCTAAAGCCATACTAGCTGATATTGGATTAGGTTAGGAGAGAAATAGGAGTGGTCAGACCAAAAGAAGGTGGCATCATGTTGGTGTTTGACCCACCTAGGGAAGTGTGAAGTGCTTGACTGATTTTTTCGAAATACTAAGAACCAATAGCTCCAAACCATTTTCAGTGATGCATATACATTCACTCTTTATCGTCTCCTAGAATCATTATTTTGTCATTATTTCAAAAGAATGGTTACTGAACATCGGTCGTGTAGAATAAAATAAAACTTGTAGTTTGCCAGCATCCAACGTTTTTTGAACTGATTTTCTTAACTTCTTCGTAATTATTTTGTTGGGTATATAGCCCTTGAATTGCAGTCTTGTGTACAAAGGCTCTCTGCTTACGGATAGTGAATAGTCCTTTTCAAATTTCTTAGTCATACGTTTCCTGTTGAATTTGTCTGGATAACCATTTTCATTCAAGGTATCATATACTGTCCTTAGTTCATCTGCAATCACCTCTTCTGAGCATATAGTTCTAACCGTGTGGCTGAGTGTCCTTACTAAATTTCTTGTGTACTTGGCATGAACGAAGCTATGAAAATGTGTATATTGTCCTGTCCATGTACTTTTCCTATTCAAACTTCATTTTGATACTACCACCTGGTTTTCTTGTAAGGAGAACGTCTAGGAAAGCAATTCTGTTTCGAGGTTCCTCTTCGCATGTGAATTTCATAGCCGAATGTACTTCATTGATTAGAGGAGTTTTTATTGTGTTCCTATTCGAATCATTATCACAAATAATAAAAGTGTCATCCGTATATCGGCAATGAAATGAAAAATTTTTTGATAAGGTTGTTCAAATTTCCATTTTCTAGTTTATTTGAAAAGCAGTCTGGTAAAATGGGACTCAATGGGAAGCCTATCGCTACCCCATCCACTTGCCTGTAAAGCGTGCCATCAAATTTGAAATTTACATTCACGGTAAACCTTAAAAACAATTCTTTTAGAATTTCCGTTAGGATGCCATTATTTATCGACAGGTTATCCACTTGTTCATATATGTAGTCAACTGTTTCTACTAGAGGTAAATTTGTGAATGAAGGTGTTATGTCCCAAGATATCATAGTTTTATCCTTGATATTAATATTTTTGATTTTGTCTGCGAATTCAAATACATCCTTGACGCTATGTTTCACTATCTACTCATACATAGGTTTGAAAATATTTACTAACCATCTAGCTAGAGCTGGGTAGGGCGAATTTTGCATATCATGTATTGATCTTAACGGTAGCCTCCCCACCCACCCCCCGGTTTATGTACTCTAGGTAGGCCATACAATCGTGGCGTGTACGTGGCTGTTGGCCTGATTTCTTCATATAAACCTCGAGGAAACATCTACTCCTCCTCCCTTAGTTTCTTCAGACGTCTGGTTAATTCATTCTCTGTTTTATTGTTGAAATCTTTCTTCTCCTCAAGTGTTTGAAATTTCTATGTGTCTTTCAATATATCATTGATTTTTTTAATATAGTCACTTCTATTAAGGAGGACTACTTCTGATCCTTTGTCAGGCTTTGCGATTACCACTCTCTCGTTATTTATCAGTTTCTTTAGTTCTTCTCTGTGGTCCTTCGTCAAGAAACTTTTACTGTCGCATTTGAGGTTTTGTACTGATAATAACAATCCACGAGACTGGATTTGAAGCGCTTTAATTCCCTGGTGGATGATGGAACTAGATCCCTTGTTTGGCTGAATAGGTTTTCAAATTCAATATCAGTATCTAAGTGATTGACTCGTTTCTGTGTACCGTAAAATCTAAAGTTAAGACAAAGTACTTCGAGTTGCATCCTATTTAATTCAACACTACTATAATTGTGGACGTACTTATTAGGATCATCCGGAAATTTACTAGTCTCTGGCTTGCTTATCAGTCCTTTCATAAGCTCTATCTGCTTTTTGTGTGCTCTTCGTTCACTGGCTTGAATAACATATTCCATAAAAGGTACTCTAAGTCCTTCTGGCAGTCCATCTACTTCATGTTGCCTGCGGACAGTATTCATTTTATTCTCTTGTACATATGTGTAGATAAAGAGTTCGCCTAATTACTCTTTCTGTCTACATATTTCCATTAATTGTAGTTCCTTTGCATTTACATTCTTCTCCCTTTGGGCGATATGGGATTGTGATACAGTTCTGTGCAAAATCCGAAGTTGAAATGTCAGGCATAATATAGATATAGGCGAGGGTTATTTCTAGAAGTTAATTGATGGAATCCAGAACACGCGCATTTCGTCCATTTTGGGGACTCGTCCTCTAGCTGGATGTGCCTACATTCTGTTCTGTTTATCGATTTTAAGGTAAAACATACAGAAATTATTGAATCTATCAACAGAAGTTATTAAGAAGTGATCATAATGGAGGTAGAAGATGCTGATATTTTATTTTCGTCTTTTTCCTTTTTTATTCCTTTCTTCAACCTTGATGTGTTTGTTTAGGATGATAGTGAAATTAGTTGAACTTAATGTTGACCCATTGACATTATCTGTTGCTGTTCATGATATCGGTGAATTCGTGAGACATTATCCACGTGGTAAACAGTAAGTTGAATTATTTGTTTATTTCTACTTCTGCTCTTGTTGTTGTTGTTTCTCCTCATTTATGATTTATTATAATGTAATTTTATGGCCACCTTTCAAATTACCGTAGAATTACAGTATGATGTTTGTGTTGCATTTCTTGCGTATCATCAGGCTTTGTGAAGGCGAGTGTTTGAAGTCAATTTAGTTGTTAACCATTAATTACCTGATACGACCAAGGTTGGGTAGACTTCGATCTCCCTATCTAAACGATCTCATGTGGTCACGCGTTCAAAGAGCCTCTGCGAGATAAATCTTATTCTCTGAGTTCACGTGGTGTGGGGTGTTCTTTACAAAAGCAAATGCAAACATCTGGACTGGGGATTGTGTAGGTCTACTTAGGGAGATCTGGAAAAGCCTGATTCCATACCTATGTGATGTATACATAGGCCCCAGAATCCTAACGTATAGCATAGCTTATAAACTTGTTTGGAAATGTAGCCTGTGAAACTGCTCCACTGCCTTGTGGATCAGACTTCAAGTCAAAGACTCAGGGTTTGTCCCTTCAGACAACCATCTGCTTCAGCCTGGACGTCCGTGTAGTATATTATTATTTCTCTCACAGACGATGTGATTTTCTGTGGCGCGCGTCTCTTAATGCCCATAATGTACTAAGTTCATGTTTTAATAATACTATTGATAATGCTAAATGTTAGTGTTAAGAGAGCCCTCTCTTTGTATATGTGTATGTATGTGTGATTCACCAGTCTAAGAAGAACTTCAGTGTTAGTTAGAGTGTCTTGAATTCAATTTCTGCTTAATCTATTGTATTTTGAGTAATTGAGTATATGAGTACTGTCAGCCGTCACACAAAACATGTGACTTACCAAGTAGTGTGTATGTGTGTGTGTGTGTGGAGGTGGGGGATTTTGTAATACTGTGGTGAGAGCTGTCTGCTAACCAAAATTGGTAGACAGCGATTCACGTGTCAATGCTTACTTCTCAAATCTTGGTCATGAATAAAAAAACAAGAACAAAGACTTTGCGTGGGCGGATACAATTCGCAGATATATGTTTTGACCTTGAAAGAAGTGACCACAAAGAGATGACAGACTAACTTTCAGCGAGAAAACAAACCAATCAGAAGATGCTGTTTCTCTGCTAGTAATAACGAATAATAATGTACATTAAAAAATATGCAAATATCTCTTGATTTCCCCAATAAACGATCTGTTGCCTGGCCCTTGTCTTCTGGCGTTACAATACGAATGACTTGTTATTCCTCACTAATTGAATAAAAATGTAAACAATATGATTTTAAATCAGATACCAATGTAATTTATTTTAACAATGGAAGTTAAGTGTTCATGTCGTTGTCTATGGTTGCCTAAACCACTACTGACTGAAGAAGATAGATACCGTTGTGTCTTGTATTACATTGTATGGATTGTATTCGAAGGCAAGCTTTAATTCTTTACACATCATTGACCATCATCTGTCTTCATCTTATAGGTAATTATTTGGAGAATCGGGTTGGAGAGAAAAGTTAATGGTAGTCAAAACAAAACTTGTCACCATTCCATGAAATCTTTGACAGTTTGAGCCAGACACGTAGGGGGAGATGGTGTTGTAGACTGCCTAATTGGGATCCTCATAACTTTCTATGAACCAATGAAGGCTAGAGAGAACGAGTGATATTTGGCTTGAAATCGTCTTCGATGGCTGGCGCAGATGCATTCACTCTCTGTGACTTCCCAGATCCATTGAAAACCTCACTATTATTATTATATCCTTTCATTCCTAGAGGAACATAGGCTTCAGTTGCGCATCTCCATTGCCTTCTGTTTTCTGCCAACTTTTTCACCCCACTCCAAGTCTGTCCACATGCTTTCATCTCCTCCGCTTCACATGACCTCCTCCAAGTCACCCTTGCACTGACGACCAACTCTCCCTTTCCCTTTCGGGTTCAACTCGAGCAATGGCTTGTCTAGTGATGTCACTACTCACTTGATGGTTTACTCAGAGTATGGCCACCAATCCATCTCCATTTCTGCCTACCTATTTGTCGCACAGTCGGTTACAGCTGGGTTGGTTCACTGATTGCCAGAGATCTCTGTTACTGATCTTTTCTGGTCGGCCATCTGATCTTGAGTGGCACTGAGCGAAGACAACTGTTGACGAAGGTCTGTAGTTTGTTTGAGATGCTCTTTATGACGCGCTGGCCAAGTCTCTGATCCGTATTGCAAATAGCACTGACTTCACATTGGAGTTGAAAGTCCGGATGTTATTTTTGATGCTGAATGCTGTTGACCTCCACACAGAGTTGAGAGTAATGAAAGCTTCTCTTGCTTTTCCGAATCTGGCGTTGATATCCTCGTCAGTTCCATCCGCCTGTAGTTGAAACGATGCTTCACAGGTAGGTAGGTGGGTGAGTGAGTGAGTGAGTGAGGTTGTTTCTTTCAGGTTCCTCCCATTTATGCTGGCTGATTGTTGTCTGTTGTTGTTTCTGTTGCTGTTGGTGTTGGCCAGGAATCTTCATCACTTCTGTTTCCTCTATGTTCACCTGAAGGAAGTCCTATCTTCTGTGGATGCTTCTTCTATCGCCAGCTTGTTGCTTTTCACTTGCATATCTTCCAGTTTGTGTGAAATCAGACATATGTCATCATCGGCGAAGTCCAGATCCTCCAAGTTTTTGTGTGAGTCCATTTTATGCCTGTTTCCTCGCTGCCCGCTGTCTCTCGCATCCAATCTACTGACCGCAATCAGGAATATCATTGGCGATAGTAGACAGCCTTGCCTCACTGGTTTTATATTTTACTACTCTTTCCGCCTCATATTTCTTGTTATCATCGTTCTTTTAAATCGCATTTTTGTTCTACACTGAGTGTGGCAACTCAAACTTCTGCGATTCTTAACAAAGTTCTATGTTTAAACCAGTCAGTCAGTTATCCCGACGGGCATTTCGTGTGTATACCTATAGAGAAATTCGTCCATTACGGTGGAGCCCTATCAATTTTTGGTTACTTAAATGTGTTCTTTTTTTAATTATTAAGAATAAACATTATTTCGCCTTCTCTTGCTCACTTCTACGCTTCCAGAATAATAGAAACTCTAGGAGGTAAACACCTGGTAATGGCTTTACTACAACACGAAGATCCAAATGTACGTTATAATGCATTGGTCTCATTGCAGAAGATAATGGTTCATAATTGGTAAGTAATTGATTGTCTAAGCCTTTTTTAAGGGATATATTTTCTATTGTAGTCTGTCCATTTCTTCATAAACCTAATAATATTAATATATATAATAAAATCCTTGAAATGCTGAAATAAAGGTTTGCTTGACTTGTTTGTGTGTGTATGTGTGTGTTTACATGCAGGGCATTTTGTTTGCTGTCACACTGTGCTGCCAGTCAGCTGATAGGAAATCGGGGAACTAAAACCTTGAGAGTATTCATTTCTTATTGGAGATCTGTAGCTTTGTCATTCATTGTCGACCTAACTAGCCTACTGATACCACAAGTGACCATGTCTTCAGTCCTCATCGGATGGTAATTGATCTAACTGTTTATCGTGACGGTTTAGGATAGAAAACTCGTTTTTTATTCTTGAAATCTTCAGTATTTCGAGATATACCTTGATCTGACCTACTATTGTTATTATTATTATTGCTCGTCCCCCAGTGGGATATAGGGCTTCAGCACCACATCTCCATTGCATTCTGTTCCCTGAGGGTTTTTTTCGGCTGACTGCGCTTTTACCAACAAACTTTCATTTGGTTCCCTTGATAAATTTCGATAAAGAAAGGAAAACGGAATTTGCAGTATAAAATGTGACATCGTCATTCTATTTCGCAGGCTCTCATCAGCTGCCATTGACTACCTGAAATTACAATGGTTATATAATTGGCAATAACAGTTTAATGTTTAAGTGGTAATAGGGAGGAAATACTATAAAATTGACGCATCCAGAGTGTAATCATTACAATTTTTTTGGTTTAAGTTTTCATCATCAATTTATACTTTTTCAAAGTAGAAAAGATGGGGGTGGGGTAAGACAGAAAACATAAAAAATTAACAGACATTGTTAGCTTGTAGGTTCACATAGCAACTCAAAAAACCAACAAATTTTACAGTTTATAAGACTGATATTTGCGCTTTTCTACTTTGAAAGCGTATAAATTGATGATGAAAAACTTGAACTACTACATTTTGGATGCGTCAATTTTATAGTATTTCTTTCTTCTCTACTACCACTTGAACATTAAAGTATGTTATTATCATCATCTATATAACCAGTGTAATTTCAGGTAGTCAATGGCAGCTGATGAGAACCTGTGAAATAGAATGACGATATCACATTTTATACTCCAAATTTCGTCTTCCTTTCTTTCTTTATCGAAACTTTAATTCTCTCCAACATTATCTCCTCCATATCTCCGTCAGACGCCCAACTCTTTAGATATGATAGAGAAGATTTGTAGCTCAGGTGGATGATTTTGATGTGGTTTTGTTCTCTGAGCTGGATGGTTGATTTGCGAAGCTTTCATCACCCTACTGGGTGACATCTTCAGCGCATACTTCAATTTGAAGTGGGCTTTTAGATTTCTCTACGAGTTTATTAATCATCTCTCCTGGTGGGTGACGTTGGACGTGTTTGGCTGTTTATGTGTTTTCACACCTTCTAGGTTACTTGTATTGGAACTGACTGTTTCTTTGACTTGAACTTTGGCCCTTTGTGTGTGAAGTTTCTTTCTTATTGGTTGATAAATTTTGTCTATCTCTATGTGTCTATTGATTGATGATTCACTGGAATGCCAGCCAAGCTTCTAAAAATTCTCTAGCATTCTTGTTGTTTCCTCTGTCTAATATTTGAACGTTGTCCCGGTCGAATTGATGTCCGTGGTTGTCTGTGTGTAGTGATATGAGGGAGGGGATATCATGTCTTTTGACGGCTCGCTTGTGTTTGTGGATACGAAGACGAAGGGGACGTCCACTTTGGCCAATGTAGTGTTTTTCGCAGTTGTTACAATTTATTTCATAAATGATGTTGGTTTTATCTTCTTTCTCTGTTGAGTCTTTTAGTTGACATAGAATTGAGTGAAGTGACTTTGTTTGTTTGTGTACGACGTCAATTCCTAAAGGTTTGAAGAGGCTTGTAGTGATTTCTGAGATATCCTTTATATATGGTAAGGCGATTTTCTTTGTGTTTTCCTTGGTGGCTTTTGGTTTGAAAGGTTGGCTTGGGTGTGTATGTCTTTTGATAAAATTCCATGGATATCCATTCTTTTGGAAGACGTCCATGAGATACTTTTCCTTAAGGAAAATTGAAGTATGCGCTGAAGATGCCACCCAGTAGGGTGATGAAAGCTTCACAAATTAACCACCCAGCTCAGAGAACAAAACAACATCAAAAGCCCAACTCTTTGCTTACCATTTGCGCACCATCCAAGGGCGTGACATGTGATGTCACTTGATGGTGGTCTTCTCAGCGGATGTCTAGTCCATCACCATTCCCTTCTGCGTGTATGTTGAGCAATAGGTTCTTGGCTGGTGGTTCGTTGCCAGACTTCCTTCTTTTCAATCCTTTCCAGACGACTTTCTGATCCTCAGAATGAGGCCAACGCTGGCAGCTTTTCATGTAAATCCTCCGTGACCTGGTAGAAATGCTTTTCATAAAGCATATGTAGAAGCGCTGACTTGACAGTTGTGTTGGTGATCTGAATCTTGTTCCTTGTTCTGAGTTCAGTAGATTTCCAAACTGATTTCAAAGTGATGATGGTCTGTCTTCATTACCCACCCAATCTGATACTTACTGGTTGCCTTTTTAGACATCTTCATCCGTACCGCTGTCTAGGTAAGTAAAGCGGGAGACTTCCTCTGGATTTCTCCCGTTGATGGTGATAACTGCTTGTTATTGTTCCCTTGGATATCTCTTCATCACTTACTTTCGCCTTCTCTACATTCACTTAAAGTTCCGTCTTCACTGCGCCTCGTCTGCCGATATGTTGATTTTCGCTTGTATATCTCCAATTTTTTTGTCACACGTGAGATATAAATCAATCGTTCGTCCTCAAAGTTGAGATATTCTAGGGTCTTTTTGTCGGTCCAATGTATACCAGTCTTCTCGTGCTCACCCCCCCCCGCCTCCACATTCTGTTGTATGATCCAGTTCACTACAGTTAAGAAGATCCTCAGTGGTAATTGGGTAGTCCTGGTTTCCTCCTGTCTTGATTTTAAACGCTTCAGTGAACTTCCTGTTGCAAGTCATCCGGTGGCATATATGCCATCATCATAAAGCTGCTGGATGAAGTTGCATTATACTTTGTGGTATTTGAAGCAGTTTATGGTGGCATTCACTTGTACATTCTTCTTTCGTTTTAGCGTATTGTTTTTTCTCTCCCGTGATAATCAGTTTTTATCCCTCTATTTTTCCCTTGTTCTCCCTCTATATCTCTGTATTTTGTTTCCAAATAGTGAGTTTAAAGGCAACATTTTATTACCGGTCACCTGTATTTCACATAAATTGTTTAAATGAATTAAAAGGTCAGTGTTCCTTGTAAACAAGTATCACCTAACGTTGGTGAGAAGCTTTTCAATGCCCCTCTCTCTCTCTCTCCTCTTCGTTATCCATAACACGAATATTATGCCAAAGTGCCATTACTGTGCTGTGCACCAACCGCGTTTATAGCTAACAAACAACTAGTATTCTTTTTCTGTGTGTCTCTTGTTAAGAGATTGACAAAGTGGTGTCTATGTTTGTCCCAATACCACATTAATTAAATAAGTTAGTCGACTATAATACAGTACGCACCCATACTGCGGGTTCGAACCCAGGACCTTCTGGTTACAAGGTGAGCTCGTAGACCATTGAGCCACTGGGACCCGATCCAATGGTCCATGAATTCTAACTTCTGCCAGTTCACGACATAGCGTGACCACTTCGCAATGTCTTCCTCGATGAGTTACTGCCCCATCTTCGACCTGCTGTACCCTACTGGTCACGTCTTCCCACTAGAACCCAGGTTAACTGCCTGAATAGGGCCAGTGGTTCAATGGTCTACGAGCTCGCCTTGTAACCAGAAGGTCCTGGGTTGGAACCCCGGTGGGTGCGTACTTCTGAAGAGTTCCAAACTAGGACGAAACAGCTGTCCAGTACTCCCAGCCAGTTTTCCAGTGGTTCTCTAACTGATGTCCGCTCATGGTGAAATCCTCCATACAATCAAACAAAATCCCTACAAAACCAATACCTGACTATATAACAGCCGGTAAAACTCGAACTTTATGCAATAAAGTGTAGGTTGGAAGTAGAGAGTTAACCCATCATTGAGGTATACCTATTAATTATTTAGCTATGAATCAGGTATTCTTTAAAACACGAAGCAGTTAAGTAGTAGTGTTCAGTCCAGTCGTCCATTGATCTTCAGAAGCCTTAAGGCCAAGACCTTGCATCTGGCCACTTCTATGTGCATATATCAGTTCATTACCTGTTGATATGGAGCCAGCCAGGTAGTACATTGGTTGTTCGACTCATATTCTATCCAAAAGGGTTCAACAACACTATCCTGCATGGCTACAAAAAGGTAATAGTGGCTGTATAAAGTGTGATGATCGAACATCTCTTTAAACCACACTAGTCATTCCACCTGAACAAACGCCTCCTGCTTCATTAAAGTAATCTACAAAGTGAAGAATAGGCTGAAAAAAGCAATACGCTTTCATCTCCTTTGTTGTATTGCTGAAACCTTGGTCATTCATTTTGGAAAAACCAGAGTTATGGTATGCGAAAGGAAATCATCCAACCACTTCTACTACTATCGTGGTAACAACCGTGTTGACGCCTACTGATTTGATGTTTGCGTGCTTGCTTTTTTTTTCCTAACTCCTTATAACATTTGTAATCTTTGCAAGTCTTACATAATTCCATACTTTCCTTTGTTTCTATGTGCGTATTCTGATCACAACTCACTCATTAAACTATTCATCTTATTATGTAACTTTTATGTGTTAGTAACTACACGTTTTGACGATACACACCTCAGCACTACCCTGTTACCAGTAATCTTCACCCCCACCCATCCAACACTAGTTACAATTTGATAACTCATCACATTTTTTGAAATGTCTTGACAACAATAACCCTAACTTATTTTAATTCTTATCGGACAAACCTAATGCACACACACACAAACAAAAGTAAGTATATTTAACTGCGATTGTACAGCTAAGTGTCAATGAATTCGCCGCTGTTATTATTATTTATTATTAGTATTTCCTTTAATTCCTAGAGGAACATAGGGCTTCAGCCGCACGTCTCCACTGCCTTCAGTTCTCTGCTGACGTTTTCACCTGGCTCCAAATCTGCCCACATGCTTTCATCTCCTCTTCACATGACCTCCTCCAAGTCACTCCTGCACTGATGACCAACTCGCCGCTTCCCTTTCGGCCAGGTTCCACTCGAGCAATGGCTTGTCTAGTGATGTCACTACTCACTTGATGGTTTCCTCAGAGTATGGCCACCAATCCATCTCCATTTCTTCCATGCCTATTTGTCGCAGTCGGTTTCAGCTGGGTTGGTTCACTGATTACCAGAGATCCCTGTTACTGATCTTTTCTGGTCGGCCATCTAATCTTGAGTGGCATTGAGCGAAGACAACTGTTAATGAAGGTCTGTAGTTTGTTTGAGATGCTCTTTGTGACGCGCTGGCCAAGTCTCTGATCCGTATTGCAAATAGCACTGACTTCACATTGGAGTTGAAAATCCGGATGTTATTTTTGATGCTGAATGCTGTTGACCTCCACACAGAGTTGAGAGTAATGAAAGCTTGCCTTGCTTTTCCGAATCTGGCGTTGATAACCTCGTCAGTTCCGTCCGCCTGTAGTTGGAAGGATGCTTCACAGGTAGGTAGGTGGGTGAGTGAGGTTGTTTCTTTCAGGTTCCTCCCATTTATGCTGGCTGATTGTTGTCTGTTGTTGTTTCTGTTGCTGTTGGTGTTGGCCAGGAATCTTCATCACCTCTGTTTCCTCTATGTTCACCTGAAGGAAGTCCTATCTTCTGTGGATGCTTCTTCTATCGCCAGCTTGTTGCTTTTCACTTGCATATCTTCCAGTTTGTGTGAAATCAGACATATGTCATCATCGGCGAAGTCCAGATCCTCCAAGTTTTTGTGTGAGTCCATTTTATGCCTGTTTCCTCGCTGCCCGCTGTTTCTCGCATCCAATCTACTGACCGCAATCAGGGAAATCATTGGCGATAGTAGACAGCCTTACCTTACTTCCGTCCTCACTTCGAAGGTTTCCATAATTTTCCCGTTGTGGATTACTTGGCATGCAGCATTGTCGTATAACTGTTGGATGAGATGTATAATTGTCGATGGCACTCCGTAGTAGTAGCGAAGTAGCTGCCAGATGACCTCTCGATCGACGCTGTCTGCTGAAGGCCTTTTCAAAGTCGATGAAGTTGAGTGAGATGGATAGGTGACTGCCATTCCAGGCTTTGTTCAATAATGAATCAATTCGCCGGCGAAAAGAGATTCTTTGCTGAATTACACGTGTGTTTAGTTTTCATTAATATTGTATGTTGTGATCGATACGCAATCAGTTAGCTTATCCGGTAAGCTTACATCCAATGTGTGCGCTTGCGTTCAAGTCCATTGAACAACTCCAGAGCTGAATCGTGTTTCCAGTATGCCTTGTTATCAATTTTGAACTTACATTTACGCTTAACATTGATTGATTAGTAGGGAGTAACCAGTTTCAATAAGCCAGTAAGTGATAAGACCGATAAAGATAGAAAGTTTGACATGTGGTTAGCAACCCCATCCCGTAAAGTCAAAATACCACTGCTATCATCGAGATTTCAAAACTCTAGCTTGAAGCCCTCCCTGTTCCACTGGGAACGCAAAGGAATAAAACAATCTAAAAAAAAGCCAGTTTCCCGCGTCTAGTCCCTTAGTAACGTGTTCACTAAGCTACGCATGACTTGGCATCATAAATCACTTTATAAATCGATCTTAGATGGTTGTCGGCAGTCGGATTAGCCCTAGATTAAGGCTACGTGCTTACCAGCATTTGTCAGTAAGGCATGTATATAAATACATGCTACATCGAAAGGACTAATACTCCTTTCTAGTTCTCTTTGATTTCAGCCTGACATTTATATACTTCCGTTTTATTAAATTTCATCTCTTCACTTTCCGAGTCGAACATAGGGCTTTGAAGTTTCGCTGGCAGTGATTTTATTATTTTTATGGTGTTGGGGTCACTGGCCTCACTCCCAACCTTCCCTCTTTACCGGCCTTACTATCGGCTTAGCAAGGCATAGGAGTGCTACAGCTGAGGATCAAACCCCCTTTTATTTATTTATTTAAACGCATAAAAACTTGGTACAATGTGGCACCAAGAAGGATGCTCCACACAGTAATAATAAAACAACATAGATCAAAAGAAAAATAAATAAAGAAGGGAAAAATATATATATATATAAGTAGAGAACGGATAAAGAACTTCATCTGGAAGGAAAACAGTCATGCTTAACAAGTTCAACAGTATTCGTTAACTATCATCGGGAAGGAAGAAAGAAGAAAATCGCAACACGTGTAATAGCACACGATAAGTCCCTTGATTGTTTGTTGCTTTATTCAATTCATTGTGTGAGGGCTGAGATACTGCTCGGGCACCCAGACCGAAGCAGGTGGTTTTATTAAGGGCCGAGCCTTTGACTTGGAGTCTAATCCGCAAGGCAGCGGAGCAGCGTCAGGAGCTGCATTCCCATAGTTTCCGGTGACCCATATGGGTTCATACGCCATTTGATCCGATTAGATACTGGAGCCCATGTACCCCATGATAACTGCTTTTAGTTTAACCGCTATCCAAACAACCTTCCCGACATAGTAGGACCCGCAGGGACAGAATCTCAGTCATTTTTGCATGTTGGGTCATTACGGTATCCAAGCCCGACACCACCACGACAAGATGGCGGTTATCGGCCGGGATCGAACCCCTGGACCATGTGTTGTGTTGGGCGTGGTTGGGGTAAGCATTCTACCACTGAACCAACCACCGATGACATTTTTACTATTATTATTATTATTGTGAGTACGCTAATATAAATATTTTTCACTTTCTCTTGTACTGCTCATGCTATTGCCGCTTGAAGGGAATACCTTGGGAAACAATTGGATTCAGCTCAAAGTACCGAAGTGAAGTCGACAGGAATAAGAGTAAAATAAGTTTTTTACCTCCATCTATTAAATATATTATCACAACAATGACAACGGACTGTTATTTGCCATCACCTAGTTATGCTTTTCAAACTGATTGATTTTTTGTGAGTGATATTTTTTGCTTTTTTATGCAGAATCAGCATTATTTATTAGTGCTATTATCGTCAGTAGTAGTGATGATGATGATGAATCGCTATGTCAACATATATATGCATACATACATATTTCTGTGATTCCTTCAGGTATATACTCAACTGTACCACAGCCGCCCCGCACTCCCTTCATTATTGATATCTAATCACCAATCAAAAAAAAGCATAATATATATTATTTCTAATTATTGATTCTCTTCTATGAATTGACCTTTGTCTTTCGCTTCTCTTTTCTTTTCTTTTTGATCTTAAAACATCCAAGTCAATGTCGTTAATACATTCCTTCTCTCCTTCATTTGACTTTATTTAATTTATCGATTATTCTGGGTAATAAACGGTTGAATTTTATAATGACTTTTTTTCTGCTTGGTTTCTTTCATTTTGCCTTTTGGCGGTTTTAATGATACGCGCCGCCAGGCAGTTGTTATTGTTGTTGTTTCAAATGCTGTCGGAGACAGGGAGAGAAAGCGGCGATAACTGAAACTACGGTATGATTAATACACCGTAAAATAATAATAATAATTTGCTTTATTCCAATACAGTACTTGTGATACAAAATGGAATTCTCAGCATTTTACTCTACAGTATTGCGCGTCCAGTTAGTACACTAACAATAAATAAAATTCTACATAGATTATGGGTAATCTCAGTTAGGTTTTGACAACAACATACTGGCATGTCGGTGGTAGCAAAGCCAAAATTGAACAGAGTGTTTAAAGGTGTTAGAAAAGCAGATGCTAGCATAATAACTGGTGTAAGCGGTAACAAAAATGTCGAGATATACGAGTGTGAAAGAACGGAGAAGAATGTTTCAATTGGAGTTTGTAAGGAAAAGAGAAACAAAACAGCGCACATAACAGAAAATAAATAAATGATATGAGTTGGAAAGATGAGATCCCGTTGTTCTACTGACTATTTAATAATAAGCCACAGGTTTCACGCCTAATGCTTTCTTTATCGCACAGAACACGAGCTAAGTAGGGTATGGTTTAGTTTTTGTACTTGCTATTGCGAGCACATAATTTTCTATATAGGCTTCTGGTCCTGCCTGATGAGATTATACAATTATCCAGGCAGGTTCATCAGAAGATATAAAGTAGTCAGAATATCAAGACCCACAACACAACTCACCCCTAAGAAAGACGTGTACATCAAGCTACTCTATATTGGGCATCACAGCAGCTTGATAACTAGACAAAGATTGAACGCTGCTGTGGTTAAAAAGACTTTTATGGAGCTAATATCATAATAATAGAGAATGTAAAGCCATTATGTCTGTCTAAGCCCTTCAAACATGCGAAAAATAACGTCACATCCCACTGTATTTACCGATTCGAATGTACGTGTGGACACACATACATAGGGAGGACTCATCGATCTCTGCGAGTAAGGGCTTCAGAGCATATTCCTGAATGGTTCGAAAAACAAATGAAATCTTCAGAACCCAGAACAGGAGACTTAGCTCGTCTATTGCGAAACATATTATAGAGACAGGACATAAAGCTGACGTTGACAGATCTTTTAAACCTATCTATAAAACGTGTTTTGAGGGAGTGTGTATCCTAAAGTTTGTGCAAGCTCTAGCTAGCAATTCGAAAGTTTAAATCAGCTTTATGCGCTCAAAGCAACAATTCGTTATCACATTAAATTTCCCCTGGTAAATTTTGTTTTGACACCATAGTAGATGTACTATTACTTCTGCTATTTGGTTCAGTGGTCTTCATTGTTAATTTGACCTTGAATATGGAGGCCTTTTAACTTGACCTAAGTAGTCTATTTTCTCACCTCTTAACTCTTTATTAATTTCATATATATTCCTATGACAAGTCCGTTGTGTGGTCAGATTGTTCGCAAATACGCATTACACGTTTGAGCAAATTACGTCTTCTTATATCTAAATTCATAAAGGGAACTAATTGTTTTAAATTATCAGTTACGTAAATTACATAAAAATTGCATAAATATATATATATATATATATGCATTCCATCACTAAAAGGTTATTACACAATGTGTTCTGTGTTATAATCCAATTTTCGAAAAAGTAGACGTGTGATTCATTAAACGGATTCTTTTTCGACTATACAGTTGGAATTGAATGAACTAGTAGGAGAAATGTGCATTACTGGTTCAGTGGCAGAATAGTCTCGCCAACGATGAACGCCGTCTAGGTTCGATTCTCAGCCGATTCAACTTCAAACGTCTCTTAGCCAGCAGTCAGCTCAGAAAGGGAGACAGGTTGTGCATGAGTTGAGTCTGGTGAACAACCTCACTCCGTAAAAAAAACAATACCGGCACTGTTATAACTAACTGCAAAGCTCACGCTTGAAACCCTGTGTGTTCGGCTTGGGACCTAAAGGAATGGAGAGGAAAACGTTTGAGAAATACAAAGTTGATAGGCGGCGGCGAGTCGGTCGTCAGTAGTGCGAAGGTGACATGGAGGAGGAGATGAAAGCATGTGTGGAGCGAGAACCGAACCCGATGGAGAAGTGCGGCTGAAACCCGATGCTCCTCTAGGAACTAAAGGAGATAATTATAACGTATTACTACAATTTCACACATTACCACATACATATTTTTGACTATAATCTAATTTATTAACAATCTAATTGCAAATAACTTTTGGAATTCTGATCTAAATGATTCCATATTACTCTCGTTTATAAAAACCACTAATGTTGTCAGTCGTTAACAATCATTCCGTCATTATAATCGATGGATATATAACCGTCGAATCTGATGAAGAGGAGATTACTCGAAAAGAATATTCTTTGTTCAATAAACAATCTTTTGAAATTACTATACGGATCAGAGACTTGGCCAGCGCGTCATAAAGAGCATCTCAAACAAACAACAGACCTTCATTAACAGTTGTCTTCGCTCAATGCCACTCAAGATCAGATGGCCGACCAGAAAAGATCAGTGACAGGGATCTCTGGTAATCAGTGAACCAACCCAGCTGAAACCGACTGCGACAAATAGGCATGGAAGAAATGGAGATGGATTGGTGGCCATACTCTGAGTAAACCATCAAGTGAGTAGTGACATCACTAGACAAGCCATTGCTCGAGTGGAACCTGGCCGAAAGGGAAGCGGCGAGTTGGTCATCAGTGCAGGAGTGACTTGGAGGAGGTCATGTGAAGAGGAGATGAAAGCATGTGGTCAGACTTGGAGCGGGATGAAAAAGTTGGCAGAAAACCGAATGCAATTGAGACGTGCGGCTGAAGCCCTATGTTCCTCTAGGAATTAAAGGATAAAATATTAATAATGAAATTTCCAGTGGACAACTTTAATCAACTGTTGAGTACTAATTAAAACACGAAATAATTGAGTGAAGAATATCCTTTTCGATAATTACATCTTCTGGCTCTACAATTATATATGCATGTTTATATACATAGAATATTCTAGATTAGTAGTCAGTAACAATAGTAGAGTTTTTTAAATAATATCGATTTGTAAAGTAAGATCAATGGAATTACAGTTCATCAAAAATGGTTAAATTATAATAATAATAAAGATATAATAGTAAATAGAATATCAACTAAAATGAGGAAAATCCCACAAAAAGTTGAGGATCATTCAAACCTAGATGGCCAAGGTAGGGATAATGTCTGAACTAGCTTCTTTTGGATGCACCAATTAGGCTTGTTAATATGGGTCTCAATAGCCAGCCTCAGCAATATTTAGTAGTCAAACTCTTAAGGCGAAATTAAGATCTATTTGGTATGCGGTAAATGACCCTGAAAGCCGCCTGGTTACCATCAATCTTGTGTTCTGTATCCACAAGATGAGATGGAATAGCACTATGTGAATAGCTTTTGTTTTATCCTTTGCTTAACCACCATGCAGGATGGTGTTCGAAAATCCGACGAGAAACACGCCTAATTGTACGGTCTATGCAACTAACTGGCTCATTCCACAAGAGCAGTGAAATCGGTAGATACATGTGGAAGAATAATTTAACATAAACGGAAGTCGAACAACCTTCCTCAGTATTTCCATGGTCAGAGCTTTAGTATAATACACAAGAAGCAGATATGAAATGCTTTTGACAATCACTTTTCAGTCCTATGGATAATTCCTGCCTTTTTTCTCTTGGAGTTATCTCTTCCAAGGTGTAGTAAATGAGACTGCTGAAAGGTTTCACTTTACGGAGTCATTTCGTTTTTCTACACACGTCGTAATCGGGAGTTTCTATATGAATATTCCATTTTTATTTGTGGTAATTTACACAATCGACCATCTTGGTAAGTTCTTTGGATTCGATTTTGCGGCCAATACACTCGTAAACGTCTCTGACAAGTAAACCTAGAGAAAGTGGAAATGTTGGACGCCAAACTATCAACCCCACGCTGTAAAAAAAACAAACAGTATCACAACTAATGGAAGTTTGAATTCCCTGAGAGCCATGATGTACCATTTGGAACGCTAGGAATGTGTAAAAGAAATTTACACTAGTATGTGTTTATAAAGCTGTTCAGTAAACCAAAGCTACTGACTGATCATCACATCAACACAAATACCCGGATGAAATAATTTATTCATTAATTGGATTTCATTGATACTTTTTCGCTTTGCAGTGCACTTTTAGGGTCAGTTCATTGGATCTGTAATTGATCATTGTTTCGAGCGCCAAACAACGAGAGCAGAGTGAAATTGGAGAAATATGATTTGAGTTTTAAGATCATAGATTGGTTTGAGCACTTGACTTTCTCACATTCAGATCCACAGTTCGAGTACTTCTCTGTCTACATCATCCTGTCCAACTAGTAGGTAGTAATATAAGTCGTCACAGTCAATACATGAAAGATCTGGATCCTTAGAACAACATAATTCAGTTGAATAACTGTA